ACCCACTCAGCTGTAAAGTTCTGATTCTACGTTAGAGCAGTCAGTTCTGTGTTTCGTGACGTTTTGCTGTAATTCTGATATTTTTGTGAACAAATGCGTAACCCTTCATAAACTCCCAGTCTGTGACTTCTGCTCCGATCATCAGGAGGAACTGACCGTATAACTCCTCCTCAGAATGCGTTATGAGGATTAATAGGTTTCTAAAGTAGCTAGCTGCTATCAGGTCGGCGCTCATTGATGTGATAAAAGCCAGAGATTTGACGCTGTGGTTGGACTCAGACCTGGACCGAGTCCAGGGCTGAGATAAACCGGGCCGGCTGCACGCCCTGCTAGCTTCCCGCTGGCGCTGCCTGTCTGATGTGGGCAGAGCAGCAGGACGGACTGCAGATAAGCTGCAGGGAGGAGAACCAGGCGCACAGACCAGGACGTTCAGATCAAGAGACGTTTGGGATCTGTGAGGCTGCTGCCATGTTTACAGCCTTATTTCACCAATAAGAGAATAGTTTTAGATCTGGATGGGATGGAGAGAGAAGCAGATCTGATTTACAGGCTTTATGTCCTGCTGATGGTCTAAATGCTGCTGGTCCGTTTTAAACCAATAACATCCAACCATGGTAAATGGACTGACCTTATAAAGATATTGCTTTTCCAGTCATTTTGACCACTCAGAGTGCTTTACATTAATATTCACCCATATTTACACACCGATATGCAGCTCAGTGGGCAATTTGGGGTTAAATCGACATGTGGCAGGAGGAAGCTGGAATCGAACCTGCAACCTGCTGATCACAAGACGACCACCCACAGAGTAGTCCCATCCATCCAACCATCCATCCACCATCCATCCAACCAACCAACCATCCATCCATCCATCCAACCAACCAATGATCCATCCATCCATCCATCCATCCATCCATCCAACCAACGATCCATCCATCCACCATCCAACCATCCATCCATCCAACCATCCAACCACCATCCATCCAACGATCCATCCAACCAACCATCCAACCAACCATCCATCCATCCATCCAACCATCCAACCACCATCCATCCATCCAACCAGCCAACCACCATCCAACCAACCAACGATCCATCCATCCATCCAACCAACCAACAATCCATCCATCCATCCATCCAACCAACGATCCATCCATCCACCATCCATCCATCCATTCAACCATCCATCCATCCATCCATCCATCCATCCATCCATCCATCCATCCATCCATCCATCCGACCAACATTATTTTAAGGGTCTTTCCCACCTTTAAAAACCATAATTAATCACTGTTGTGCTAAAAAGTGTTATCTAGGTAGAAAACCCATCTCATGTCTTCAAGGAAACCTCATGAACTTTGTTGAACTTCTCCTTCCTCATATTTTTTGTTTGTACATTTGGACCGGTCTGTTATAATCTGGTCTGTTATAATCTGGTCTGTTATAATTCGGTCTGGTTTCAGAGCCGCTGCTGTTTTTTGGTCTGTTTTCAGTAAACTGAGGCATCAAGTGGCAGTGAGAGCGGTTGCACAGCGCGTTGTGGTTTCCTTTTGTTTCTTCGACATTTCGCTCCAGATCTCCACACAGGATGTTTGTGCTGACTTCCTTTCAATGAGAACAACTTTAATCTTTTTTATTTTAACAAACTGCTGCTGTTCAAAGTCAAATGTGCGAATTTGGCTTTTTGTGGTGAAGGAAGTAGCTCCGTAATCTAGTTGTTGTTTAAGAGGGGAATGATAACAAACACTGGAAGTAAAACCAGTCAACCTTAACAAAAAGAGAAACCAGAATGGCACAACTCGGATTGAATTTTACCATTTTATTTGTAAAATATTCACACTTTTAGGTGAACATGTTCTAAAAACCTGTTCCTGTAACGGTTTCGCAGTAACTCAGTTTGGTTAAAAGAATAAAACCGATTTTAGTGTATTTTAGTGTATTTTAGTGGTGAACTTATGTGGCCGTGACATTCAGGCATTCGTTTAAAACAGGAAGTGATGTTTACAGAGGAAGTGGAGTTCAGAATGTGAAATTAATAGTTTACCTCAGCGGTGGCTTCTTTAACTGACAACTTCACTCATCATGTGATTGATTGCTGCTGCTGGGAAGGAGAGATGCTACGATAACTAAGTTTCAGTTTTATTACTTTAACTTAGATCTCTGCTGAGATGTTTTTATGTCTGGACACAATGGTGCATGACCAGCTAGCCTGCTATTAATGAAACATTTTATACTCTCATACTGGAGGAGCTAGCTTAGAAGAAGAAATATCACTTTACATTTTCCATTGTAAGAAAATTATATCTGTAATAATTTTCCCATTATTACAAATTAAAAGTGTCCGTCTGCATCTACCGGCCACACAGAATCACTCCAGTGGCCACAAATGGCCCCCCAGCCTCCCTTTGGACACCCAGTTCTTATTGTTACCTCAGATCGTGTTGATAACATCATCCACTGTTGTTTATTCGTTTTGGTTTTAGTGTTTGTGTTTCCACATCCAGCTGCTGCAGCTGTTCTTCCTGCTGCTGCAGCTGGGATTTTACCAGATGACCCCGCCGTGACCTTTTCACGGCCTGAGCTCTTCTCTTCCCTCTGCTGACGGCTGCAAACAGCATCTGACTGCTTCCCCGTTCGTCCCTGCCGTCGGCTTCAGACGTTATCTAGCGGTTTTGCTCTCGCCAGGCCTCCGTCCTTCTCGCGGCCGCAGACGGTGCCAGCAGCCTGCTGCTGCAAACGGCTGAGCCATCTGCCGTTTTGGGTGTGACTGGGCGAGCTGAGTGAAGGCAGAACAGAAACCTGCATGGGCGTGACGGATACAGTCGCTTTTAGATCGCAGCCTGCAGCGAGCTTTCAGGACATTCCTCCAGTTAAAACGCTTATTAACGTCTGACTAGAAGATAAAGCTGACAAAGACGCTTAGCTGGGAGGTTTCATAACAAAACGTGGATTTTATGGCCAATAATCAGATGAGGGAAGAGTGACCACAACTGTACTCAAGTAAGAGCAAAACGTCAAGTACTGAGTAACTGATCCAATTATCAATCATTTAATATTCAAAAATTACATCATCAGACGGATCAAAATATAAAGTTTAGTGGAAAATTTNGNTATTTTAAGGACGAAAATGACAATAATTCATATAAGAAACAAACAATAACAAAATCAGGCAAAATAAACTGTTTCCAAATCCGTTTCTTTCAATAAAAAACTTATGAAACTTTAATAAAAACTGCAAACTGTGTCTGGTGAATTTTAGGTCAAAACATGTCTATTTTTCATTCAGTGGGAAGAAAATCCATAAATTTTACTCAAGTAAAAGCAGAAATACTTCATAATAGAGATACTCAACTAAAAAGTACAGCATAGTAAAAATACTCTTAAAAGTAAAATGTTTCCAAATATTGTGATTAATATGTCACTGAAATGGAAATCATTTCCAATACGGATATTAAATACAGAAACTCGAAACCTGCAACAAAGAATGAAAAGATTTGAAGGATAAGTCAAATTTTTTATACCAAAAATTTAATTTTATAGGCTATAATCATGATAAAGATACTTTTATAATTGGATTTAAAGGAAGTTTTGTGTGCAAGTGACTCCAAATGTTGGTTTTCATGTTACTTCAGTGAAAAAGTATCCAATATGTTTATTAAATACAGAAACTAGTGGGCTGGAGGAGAGAATTAAAGGGATTTGAATGATAAAGACACTTTTTTGTATCCATAAACTGAATTTTATTGATTTAAATCATGATAAAGATAAATTTATAACTGAAAAACTCTGTTAAAGCTAATTTTGAGTTATTTCCACACAAAAACTCTGTTAAATGCGTCACTAGATTGGAAAATGTGTCCAGTACGTAAGTTATTGGCCTGGAACAGAGAATAAAGGAGCTGAATGTGAAACAATGAGGTGAACAGCTGCTGCTTTGTTTGTCTGCGTCTCTGTGAGGAGATAACGTCTGCGCCATCTCCCCGCTCCATCTCCCGGCGTCTTTAGAGTTCGGGTATGTCTGTTATCAGTTATCGTTTCCTCAGAGACGAGGGCGGACAAACAGGAAGTGGTTCCCTCTGCAGGCCTGAGCCGCGTTTCTGACGCTCAGTTTGTTTTCTGGCTCCTGCTGCTGGACAGGAGACGCTACTGACAAATACTACAGGATAAAATGAGTCAGTAAGAGTCAAAGTTGGGTTTATTGTTGCTTTGGTTTAGCAAGGCCTTTCACAACGATCAATAAATCTATTAGTCGCATAATTAATTAAAAAGAAATCAATCATTTCCAGTAGTCTGACTTATTGTTTTTCACTTTTCCCCCTTTTCTACCAAAAACTGGAATAAAACTGGTGATTCCTGCTTCTACAGGTCTTTAAAAAATTATTTATAACAATTAATTATTAATGAATTATGGTCTGAAGCAGGGGAGTCAAACTCATTTTCATTTTGTTGTTTTGTTGTGTCAGAATGTAGTGATAAAACCAACTAAACTGTTAAAATTTCAATAAATAGCTGTTCCTCCAGGATTTTATGATTATTTAGTATTTCTTTATGCAATCAGAATGACAGATTTTGTGGTGAATACTTAGAAATGTTTGTAAAATGTGAGTCTTCATCACTCCCTGTATCAGTTACATTCAATGTTTCTAACCAATTTTGAGATAATTTGCTGTAAAATCAGAAAAAAATGTGGAAATTTGTTGATTTTGTGTGAATTTTGCAGATTTGTGAAAAACTGGAAGGGTTTATTGATGTAGAGTTTAAAGGGCCTCATAAAAAGACACGGTGGGCCAGAATTGATTAATTGCAACAAGCCTAGATTTGAAATATTCCAGTGTGAACCAAAAGCAACAAGTGAGAAAAGCTGCAGTGGTTTCCACAACATTTTTCCCTTTTAATATCCAAACACTTTTATTGAAAAACGAATAATGAGTAGTTTTTTGCAGTGTAAACATGAGCAGACGTGTAGCGATGCCTGAGTGACTGTCCTTTTCTTTCTGCAGCCATCAAGGTGAACTGTCTGGGCTCATGCGGCATCTCCAACAAAATGAACGACTCCTCGTGGAGTCTGGAGGAGCATTACCTGAACAGCATGCTATCTGTGGCCGATAAAGGTAATTACTGAAAATACAGACGAGCTTCAGGTTGAATTTAGTGCCGTTTTATTTTCTTTTTTCAAATAGCTAATTATATAATGTATAAAAGGTTAACAATCTTACTCCCACTATTAGAAGATACTGAAAGGTGTATATGAGCCCTGCACTGCTAAGCACCTTGTAGCTGCAGAACAGAGAATTTTTGGTAACGTTTATTCGCAATATTTTCTTATTGTTATTGCCCCCAAGATAGAAGATGTGCCCTGATTGATGCCTGACATTTGGTAAAAACAAATCCTAAAGATAAACTTTAAGGCAAAAAGGTCAAAGCTGTTAAAATAGTACTGTTAGCTTTATTCCTACCCTGAATAGCTTTTAGTTTAACGCCTAGCTTGACTAGCTCTTATTTTGACTCCTAGCCTGAGTAGCTGTTAGCTTAACTCCTAGCCTGAGTAGCTGTTAGCTTAACTCCTAGCTTGAATTTATTTTAGTTTGACTCCTAGCTTGACAAGCTGTTAGTTTAACACCTAGCTTGACTAGCTGTTAGTTTAACACCTAGCTCGAGTTTATTTTAGTTTGACTCCTAGCTTAAATAGCTATCTTGATTCCCAGTTTCAATAGCTGTTAGGTTTATTAGCTTTTAGGTTGACTCGTACCTTTCCACTTTGTTAAATCTTAGCTTGAGTTGCTATTAATAGCTAGCATTTGGATATTACTTTGGCTTTCAGTTTAACTAGCAGCTGGCTGGATTGTCCAAACTAAGATTACTTTGAATTCTTTAAGCCAACAGAATGAAACGACTCATAACTAACACCCAACTTCTGCAAACTGCAGCTTTTTTGTTACGTTTTGATCTTTAGCACACACTTCTGTTAATGTTTCAGTCGGCCTCCCTCTGGTAGGAAGGCTATTTTTGGCACTTTAGCTTAGAGTGAATAAAATACTTCTATGAAAGACGAGACAAATGTGATAGCTCTGATTCACAGCAATAGATCTTAATCAACTTGTCAAGACTCGGGTAGAGAGCGCGCTTCAGAGAGAGGAAGACATGCATAATTCAAAGCACACACTCCCTCTTTCTGAGCTTCCCTTTATCTTTGCGGTTGCTTTGTTTTCTATTCTTTCCCAAAAATGGGCAGCTCTGCGTCGGAGGGTGACACGGGAAGGGTGAAGGAGGATCAGGACACACAGTCTCAGAAAAAAGGCCAGTCTGGGTGACTGATAATGTGGAATGCCACAGTCGCTTGACGGTTAGAGGAGGGAAGACATCGGCGTCCGCTCCTCATCCTGTCACTCTTCTCTGTTCATGGAAACCAGGAATAGATTTTTTTTCCACCAATCAGAAGGAATAAACTTTATTTTTAGACCTGCTGCATTCAGGGCCGGATTTAGAAGAATAAGGGCCCCTGGGCTGGAGACAGTTTGGTGCCCTGTCCCAAAAAATAATAAAAGAAAATAAATAAATAAATTAAATAAATAAATAATTTACTCATGCAAATTGCAGAATACTAACAGGTACATCTGCACATTTACAGGTACTAATTGATGGTTGGTGTCTTTATGGCAGATGATTCTTTTTTAGTCCCAAAAAGATAATTTTCAAATATTTGGTTTTAGTTTCCATTTTAAAAAAAATCAAACAATATTTTAATAAAACAAAAGACCACATTTGAAATGAGTTTATGACTCTTAATATAAACTGTATACATAAAAAAACAAAAATAAAACATTTTTTGGAACCCCCAAAAACTTGTTGCCCTGGGCTAGCGCCCCGGTAACCCTTTATAAAGTCTGTCTGAGTTCATTTATATTCCTGCTACATATTTATGCAATATTTATTTTTCTGACTTTTTCCTTGTTTCTTTCTTTCTGTTTGTGTTTTTCTTTATTTCTTTCTCTCTACCTTTATTTATTCTTTCCTTTCTTTTTTGTTTTTTGTCTTTCTGTGTTTCTTTTTGTCTTTCTTGTTCTTCTCCTCTTTTCCTGTAGTTTTACATGTTTGCTGAAACGTTTAGTTTAAAGCTTCGCTGCTTCCTCTAACAGTAAACATGATGCAGATTAGACTAATGGAAAAACTCCCGTCTCTAACGAGGCGTTTCTGTCTGCAAGGATTTAATTAGGCTGTCAGCTCCTCTGGAGAATTAATCAGCCAGTCGGGTGAAGGTGTCTGTGTTCGACACACACATGCCTATTTATTGGTCCTTATGTTATCAATTAACTGGTAATAAACAACATAATTATTAAAACGTCCAGAAAATGTGAAGGTAGTTTATAATTATCTGCTTGAATAAAAAGAAGGAAGCAGCAGGAGGCGTTTCTTTTCAGTTTTTGCTTGTAGCAATAAGTGGGGGAGGGGAGGAGAGGTTTATTACTACAGAGGAATATCTGTAGGACATATTCACCTGTAGTAGTTTGAATCTGGGAGTAAAAACGTTTTATATTCTCTAACGTTTTTCCTTTATCTCACTGCTTAAATGTTCTTCCTTCCTTCCTTCCTTCCTTGCTTTCGATCCTTCAGTTTGTACTTTTCTTCATCAATCTCTCTCTCTCTAACCTCTCTGGTCGTTTATGTCTCTCCGGTTTGTGACCTTTGACCTTTGTTCCCTCTCAGGAATCCTGGCTCCAGGCGAGCACAGATTCCCCTTCCAGTTCGTCCTTCCAGGTGAGTCTCAGCCGCACCTTTCAGTTCCCGCGGCGTTATCAGACCAACAGCGACGTCACAGAAACAAAAATAAAGCAGCAGCTGATGACCTCACACGAGTTACAGCAGATTTAGCTAATGTTTAACGCATGCTTCAACTCGTCAAACTCGAGGCGCGGGGGCCAAATCTGCCCCGCCGTAGTGTTTACATGTGGCCCTCTAAACTCTAAGCTGGCAAACTTAAACTTAAATAGGTCACAAATTTTTATTATTATTATTATTAATAAATTAAAAGCAGTTTTCATCTATTCACTCCCTTATTTAATTAATTAGTTTCTTCTTGTTTTTGTGAAATTTTGTGAAAATGAACAAATAAATCAACAAATTTCTGGACCGTTTTGGCCAAAATGATGAAACACATCAGGTTTAAGTGATTACTGGTAATAAGCAGCTGCCTCAGGTTTAATTATTGTCAAATTAAAGTCCATGATCTAAACGGTGAGAAGTAAAAAGTCACATTTACTGTCAAACATCCACGCAGATATTGCAAATATTACTAAATGAGTACTATTGATTTTTATTCCAAATAATCACAAAAACAATGTAATCAATGTGAAAAGATGGCCAACAGTTTGCTGATGGGTTTTGTTAACACATTGTGGCAGAACCGGCCCTTTAAGAGCGTCCGTGATCTGGATTTGTAAATCCTTTTTGCTTTTTAACTTGAAAGTTTCTCATGAAGTCAGTTTAAAGCTGCTGGCAGTGAAGCAGGAAGCCATGGCGGTGCTGATGGCGCCATCTTGAGTCTGCCTGGTGTTTTCTGCTCTCATACATGATTCCGCTCAAACTCAGCGGGGGGGGGGCGGCCATTTTATTTTTAGCCCTTCATCCTTCACTCTCTGGGTAATTGGTCTCCTCTCCTCAGAAGCCCCCAGTCTGAAGGAAATCACATTAACATCATCATGTAAAGGTTAAACGTTCACTCATACTGCCCCCTGCTGGCAAACCAACATGCTGCAGCTGTTGGGTTTCATCTTTTAGCTGAGATCAGGACCAAATACTAGATGGTGGGCAATGTGGACTTTAATCACAATATTTTGTGGTATTATAAAATGATAGAGGATTAGCAAGAAAGAAAATAAAAAATAAATTGACAAGAATAAAGTTATAATATTACATTATTCTTGAAATATTATGGCTTTACTCTCATATTTGTGACTTTATTCTGTATGACTATGTTCTCGTAATATTTACTCTGTTCTTGCGATACTATGACTTCATTCTCATATGAATTTAAATTAATTCTCATGAATTTAGTTTTATTCTTGTAATTTTATTTTCAACCTCACATGGCTAGCTAAGCTAGGTTGGTGGAATCAAGTAACTCTCTCGCTCTTTGGTTGCCTAGCAACGACCTGCTGAGTAACTTGTGCAGCAGCAGTTTCATGTCTCACCACTTTGCCTCATAACTGCTTTAAAATAACCAGGATATTAAAGGTTTGAATATTTAAGACCTACTGACACATTAAATAGGTTGAATATTTAAAAAAGTAATAATTATTGATATGAAACTTTCATATCGTGATGAGTTTGTATCCCGTGTCGTCCAGCCTGAGTGGTAACAGATGTTAGAATCTGTCTATGTTGGGAAAGTCACGCCTGAACGTTTCATTTTTTTGTTTTGTTTGATCTCTTAGTCGCCATCCCCACGTCGTTCGAAGGACCGTTCGGGAAGATCGCTTACTGCGTGAGAGCGGCCATCGACACGCCGCGCTTCTCCAAGGACTACAAAGCCCAGCGGCCCTTCTACGTCCTCAACATGCTCAACCTCAACGAGGTCCCCGACATCGAAGTGAGTGTCTAGCTTTCACGACGTAGATCCTCTGCAGACGTCTTATCAGGGCACTTTTATTCACTTTAAAAATCCAAATTTGGCCCTCGCAGCAGCAGAGCTGCGCGGTGACGACGAAGAAGTTCAGCTACCTGCTGGTGAAGACGGGGACGCTGATGCTGAAGACCCGCAGCGACCAGCGGGGCTACGTCCCCGGCCAGCTCATCCGGCTCTCCACCGAGATCCACAACAAGTCCGGGAAGGACACCGGATACGTCCTGGCCAGCCTGGTGCAGGTACGGCCTCTCCCTTGATTTGATAAGATCACAAAAACTCTTAATATTTCCTTGGAAACGACTATAATAATAAAAGCTGTTCATACTTGTGTCAAAATCACAAAGTTTGGTCTGCAGGTTTTATTGATTTGCTTCCAGGACAAATCTGAACATTCAATTAAATTTCACACCATTATCCAGTCAAATCTTCTCATCTGATAAAAAAATAATCAATTATTCTGACGATTAATCAGTTAATTGTCTAAAAATAATTTAGTATATTCCTCAGTTTTTTTTTATTTAACCACTTAATCTTAATTTATACTATATTAAAAATACATAAAATGTAAATATGCAAATGATTAAACTCCAATTTAAAATAAGAAAAGGATTGTATTACCTTAAATGAAATGACAGCATTCCTTTAATGAACAGTTGATCGTTTGAAGGAAAGATGCATATTTTTTTTCATCTTAAATGCAAAATATTTATAGTTTTTGTAGAGTTTTGGCTGATTTACTGCTCCAACTGTGTTGTTCTTTCAGTAAAGAACCTTTTTATGACACTAAATATTCCAGTTAACGATTAATCGATAACTAAATCAGTGGACAGATATTTCAGTTATTGATTAATCACGATTAATCGTTGCATAAGGAGCTCTGGTCAGTTTTCTGCTGGGCTCTACATGCAGCTTCCCGTGTTTCTCCCTGCAGATGGTAACGTATCGGACCAAGCGGCCGGTCGTCGACCGGCGGACCATCGCGGAGGTGGAGGGAGCCGGAGTGAAGGCCGGAAAACACGCCGAGTGGAGGGAGCAGATCATCGTCCCTCCTCTTCCTCAGTCGGGGCTCAGCGGCTGCCGCCTTATTAACATTGATTATTTCATTCAGGTAATAATGGGTCTGTCTGTGGAAATTCTTGATTTTTGGTTAAAAATCTGTTATTATTGACTGTTTTTCACATGTTTACAGAGAACCGCTGCTGCCTAATATCCTTTCATACAGTATTGATCCAGTCTGGATATAAACTACTGAATTATTTATATGTACACTTATAAACCCACTCCAGACTGCTGTCTGTTTCTATTGAAGAAGTGTGATTAGTAATATTACTCGTTGAAATTTTTCACATTTCATCACATTTAAACAACAAACTTTGATTTATTTTCTTGGGATTTTATGAGACCAACAATGTAGCACATAGTTTTGACCTGGAAGAATCTTAAATTTTAAGATTTTGCAGCTCGCTTTATTGTTTAAGTTAAAAAAAATAGTCCAAGTTCAGTTTATTAAACCAGTTAGTAACATTTAATCTCGACTGCTCAGAAAGTGTGATTCTCAAAGAAGGAAAACTGCAACTAATTCACTAGAACCATCTGCTTTACTCCTAGCTTCAATAGCGGTTAGCTTGACTCCTAGCTTGAGTTCCTTTGAATTTAAAGTTTATGTTCTTGCTATTACCATTATCTTACTTTTAAAAATGGTCTCAAAATGACGATATCATTGTTTGATGCAATAATTTATTTGTCTAGTTTTTGTGTTGCCATGGTTACCATTAAAACGGTTCTTTCTGAATCACCGTTTTTGCCCCAGGTGTCTCTAAAGTCTCCAGAAACGGTCGTCGTTCTGCCCATCTTCATCGGGAACATCCCAGTGAACCTGTCCCCCGCCGGCTCCATCCCCACCAGTCCCAGCTCTTCACTGGCTCCCAGTGCTACCGGAGTGATGCCCAGCGCCCCGCCTGTGGAGGACGACCCAGATGGCGAGCTGGGCGCCGGAGGCTTCACCAGCGAGGAGATCCCCACTAAGAGCCACTCGCAGCAGGACCCGTCGGCTTCGCCGGTCACCATGTCGCCCAGCGCCTTTAGCCACGCCCCCGGCGCCTCGCTGCCGCCCGGCCAGCTCCCCGGCGCCACGGCGCCGCTCTTCTGCCTGTCCACTGGAGCCACCATACCGTTCTTCACAGAGGGCGACGTGAACCCAATCCCCACATCCTGCTCTCTCATCCTGCCTCCGGAATACAGCAGCTGTGACTATCCTCAAGGTGAGGAGGCGGTGCCCAGCAGGGGGCGGCAGAGAGCAGCACCACTATTGGGATTAATACAGGATTATGTAGTTTCAGAGTCTAAGACACTGGTTTACCAGGACATCCATCCATCCATCCATCCATCCATCCATCCATCGAACATCCATCCATCCATCCATCCATCCATCTATCGAACATCCATCCATCCTTCCATCTATCCATCGAACATCCATCCATTCATCTATCGAACATCCATCCATCCATCCATCCATCGAACATCCATCCATCCATCCATCGAACATCCATCCATCCATCCATCCATCCATCCATCCATCGAACATCCATCCATCCATCCATCCTCTAACTGTGTTTTTTGTTTCGTTCATCAGTTCATTCATTGTTGTTTTTTTAATCTTTTTGATGTCCTCAGAAATCTGGAAATTTAAATCTAGTAAAAATCTTTATTTCTGAAATGCTTACATCGCTGTAGTCTGACGTTAATGTCTCCATCTTTAGAGATGTTTGCTCATTCCGGACCCTTTGTGTTCCAGAACCACCGCCGACGTACGAGGAAAGCTGCAGCAGTGTGGACTCTAGTTTTAACAGCGGACAGTAGAAGAAGAAGAAGCGGACGGTGAAGTGTCATGGCCGCCGCCTGACTGCTTTCCCCGCCACCCGAACAGAAACTCGCTGGAGGGCGCGTCCGCCCTGCAGACGGTCCATTTGGGCTGAAAAGGGATCGTTTCTTATTTCTCTAAGAGTCTTGGTTTCCGCCTCGTCTCCCAGCCGGTAACATCGGACCCAACAGGTGAACTTTGTGCCTAAAAAGTATTTTCAGATAAATATTTAGGATTTTCTGTGACGGGACCTGTTTTATTCTGGGAGGAGAGTGAAATCTGTTTTTTATTTCTGCAAGTTGCATCTGTGATGCCTTTAGTGTAACTGTAGCACCCGGCTGCTTCCGGACCTTTCCGTCTGGCCCTTTTCTGCTGTCGTAACAAATCTGAGCGGCTGGGTAAACATCAGGGTCGTGTGTTCGGCCCCCAGATGTTTTGCTCATCAACAAACCAGCAGCAGCGGCGGTGTGTTTGTGATGTGCCAGTTCCTCTGCTGCATCTGTCTGACCATGATGCAGAAACCTCAGAACCCAACAGAAACCCTTTCTGAAGGATGTTTTAGTGATTTTATTTTAAAAGAGACTCAAGTTGTTTTGTTTTTATGTTTCCAAGCTGTCAGAATTTCTTGTCATTTTTTAGGTCTGGATAAGTTTTTCTGACTTTGTGAATGTTTTCCTTTGGTATTTGGCTGCTTTTTCAAACTATTTCTGCCTTTTCGCTCAGCATATCGCGAGACGGTTGCTTAAAGAAAACACCTGATTGATTGATTGATCCGAATCAATCGGCTTAGCAAATATTCTACTGGAAAAGTTTACAAACTGCTCTGTGCAACGGAAAAACAATCAATAGAGCGATTGATCGAGACAAATTAGAGAGAAAACAGGTTGGCTTGGTTTAACTGTTTTTGTTGTCTTTTGCTCCATGCTGCCATCTTGTTTTGGTTTTATTTTTTATTCAAAAGGAAAAAAATATCAATATTGCCAGAAAAAAGTCTTATGAGAGTTGAGTCATAATATTATGAGAATAAATAATACAATAAAAAGTTGCAATATGAAAAAACTCAATGTTATGAGACAAAGTTGTAATATAAAAGACTTAAAAGACTAAAAAAGTATTAAATATAAACTCATACATCCAGAATAAAAAATTCTAAAATGAAAATAAACTCATGTTACAAGATAATGTCTTAATATTAGTAGAATGAAGTAGTAATTTTATGATGGCAGATTAAATATGTAATATTAAGATGTTGAATATCCTGTGAAGTTAAACTGGTTTTACAAATTGGACATATTTTATCCTATAAAACATCAGCATCAAATTATTACCAGAATCAAAACTTTGAAACGACACAAACTAGACAATCTGTTTCTCATAAAAAAAATAAAAAAAAACTTCTCTAATTTTATGACTTTCTTCTGGTAAAATTGTGTCTTTGCTAATATTCTGTCTTTATTCTCATAGTTAAAATAAAAATCTTAGTCCAGCTTTAAAACTCCATTTTAATCTGTAATAATTTAGGTTGAAAATCCCACTGCGCCCCCTGGTGGTCGGTTCTGGTACAGGCTTCACCTCAACTCGCCGTTTAAATCTGGAGTTTTAAGTTTCCGAGTCTGAGGATCTTTTCTGTTGCCTTAACGCTCATGTAGTCTGTAGACGGCAATGTAAATGTGCACAAAGCAGCACTTTCTGAAACTTTGAGTGTGTGTGTGTGTGTGTGTGTTCGTGTGTCTGTGAGAGAGAGAGAGAGAGATGGGTTTGGATCTAAGATATAAAAACTAGATGCCACACTGATTTTTTTAACTTAATTTTTGTGTTAAGCAGTTTTTCCCTCATCACCTGATTTTGTAAATCTTTTTTGTCGTCATTTACTGTCTTTTTTTTCTTTTGCACATTAAAAATATTTTATCTGGTGTGACTCAGAGGAGGGAAAAGGAAGTGAACTGATTGTTTATTTGTGAGTTTTAGAGAAAATCTCTTTATTTATGTTGACTGTTGATTTTTTCTACCACTTTGCTGTCAATCTGGGTTCCTTCACACTCCTGAAACTTTATGGAAAACTAAAAACAAATTAGCTCTAAAGTAAATTAAGTTTGGATTTCCATAATATTTGCAGTATTCTGTTCTTAAACTAGCATATTTTCAGACCTGAAACTGAAAGAACCTGATCATGTTGAGGTGAACTTTCTTAAATTTCCAAGTTTATCATCTCGTTTTTTTTGACTGAAGGGTAAAAATAGAGCGACAATAGTTTATCTTTGTCAAAAAGGCAAAAATAAACATTCATGATTAATGTTTTCAGCTTCAACTAGCAGCTTTTTTATTTGCATTATCCTGTTTATTCAAGAATTAGAGCTGAAATATCTAAAGATCTTATGATTTTTTTTTTTTAAATTCAACAAAAAATTCAAGATTTTATTTGGAGATAGTGTAATAAAATCGTTGCCTCATAAAAAAATACATAATGACTGAATCAAACTGTTATCGCTTTAAAACAAGCTTGATATCTAATTATTTCAAGATAACTAAGTTGGAAATTAGCATATTGCTAAATTTAGTGTATTTTATTTAATTAACTAGTTCAATATTGCAACAAAAATGGGTTTACGTTTCTGTATCAAGATTAAACCTGAGGTTTTTTTCAGTAAAGTGAAGTGCAAATAAAGGAGCTGGACATATTATCTTAAGATAATGAGATATTGAACCAGTATTTTCAACGAAGAACTCATATTTTAATATAATGACCTCATCAAATTGTCGTAATGTCGCATCTTAAAAATAACGGCTCGATAAAAACGAGATTACTGTCAGGATTTTCTCTAAATAAGGAAACAGTTGTAATAAATTAGATTGGTGTCCTTGAATCTAGAAATAATAAAACAAACCTTTTATTTATCTTCATATCTCATTATCTCAATATAATAAGACATAAGAAATAAGATTTCCCAGTTTTGGAGTTTTTATTGCTTTAGAAACTGATCTGAATCACTAAAGTCACAGAAAACATCCACACTTTAAGCATTTAAAGGCATTGAAAATGTGAAGCAACCATGTTGAAAATGTTTGTCTTTTCTCTAAATGTGAGAATCTAAAGCACAACTACTGTCCTGATTTATTTTGAGTTTTCTCACGTTTTAAAGCAATCAACGTCAGATGAAATCAGCGGGTTTAGATCTGTCGTAATGTAATTATGTTAAAGACTCTGTGATAATGTGACTGCATGCCTTAAACGTCTGGGTTTCACTCAACATGAGCCGGTTCTGGTTGTTTTCTAACAGAGAAATCTCTGCTGGATGCCCTCTATGTAGCTCATAAAGCAACGAGACACTGGACCTTTTATCTGTTTTCATTCTGATTTTAGAAAACATGTGACATCTCTTATTTCTGCTGCCTTTCAGACCTGCTTCTGTTTATTTCAACAAAAGGTACTATAGCTTTATGAAAACCTGCTGTTTATGCTTTTTGTTTTTTTCCTTTTACGCGTAAACGAGTGGCGTCTAGTTTTGTATTTTTCTACTTGTAAATTGTTTACAGGTGCAGTTTGAATATACTGAGAAAAGCACCTTGACCAGTTCATGTAACGTTTCCAGTGCAGAATCAGGGTTGTACTGTACAATATAATAATAAAAATCACATGACGTGTTTTTGTAGTTTAAACAGTCAGCTTTGTGTTGAAAAGTATTTCTTCCTTTACAATTTTTTACTTTTTTTTTGTACTTAAAATGTTAATATTATTCAGTATTTCTCTTTTTATTAGTTATTTAGACAAGAGACTTTAATAGGTCGTTAGGATTAGCAAAATTATGTTGATTTTCTATTGCCGGGATATTGAGATGTTTTTTATACGTACATGTACATAAAGCAAACAAAAAAATTGTACATTTTTAATACAAACGTGTTAGATATCCATAAGTTTGCAAGACAAAAATAATAGTTATAGTTTTATCATAATTAAAATTAAATTAAAGGTGATTTGGTGTTCTAAGACGTGGATTTTAACAGTGTTATTTTGATTTACATATTGTTCTGTTTTTATTTTAGTGATAACCCCGCCAAACACTAATGTCAAAACATGTCAAGAAATTATGTATCAAAATTTGTTAATTTTAGTGTTTCTTTTAATCGGGATACCAAATTTTTAGCCGTTGTGCGAAAATCTGCCACTCACAACATGGCGGACGCGCTGACGCATCATTTTTATGGGGGGCATTTTTTTCCCGCCGCTCTCACCACTTTCTACCAGTTGACCGCGAGAGAGTTCAGTTGATCAGCTGTTAACTCGCCGAAGCTATTCGGCTTCGGTCGGTCATTTCCGTAAACATTATGGCGTCGCAAGCAAAAAACGGTTTAAATTAACGCCTGCGCTAGCTTCGAGAGCTAACGCTATTAAGCTGCGTTATTTAGCGATTAAAACAGAACCCGAGCTCGTCTTTTGAGCCGTTTTTAATCCTGAACCGATGGGAACATTTATTTTAATCGTTGGAATTCAATGGCTGTAAAAGACTCCATTACCCGTGAGCCTCTGGAGGTTATTTATGTCACGGGTTTAACCTCCCCTCACTGTGCCGCTGTGATTCTGTTCATTAGAGAAGTGCTGACTGTTGCTGGGCTACTTTCAGCTGGTGGCCCGTTCCTGTCGGTGCTCGGAGTTACAGCTAAAGTTCTGATGGGACCCGAACTTAACACCAGCTGAAACCGGTCTGTTAGCTTCACCGTCAACATGCAGGTAGGTTTTCTGTTTGGAGTTAAAACAAAGCCAACATAACAGGAAGTTATGTTGCTTTCTAGGTTATGCTCCATTATACGTTTATTAGTGTGTAAAATCCTTTCTAGCGTTTTAACTACTGAATGTAGTTTAAATTTAGCAAACATTCACTGTTTTAAAATGGAAGTAAAACAAGGATCATAAAACATCTCCTTATCAACTGTCCTATTTAGACTGACATATTTAGATACATAATAAGCCTCATATTTTCATAAATTTGAGTCCAATTCTGCAGGTTTGGAGACTATTGCACAAATGTTCGATAGTTTGTATCAATATTTGTTGAAACATTTTTCCTACAAAAACTTAGAAACTGTGGAATTTGATGTTGACTAGGAATATATTTACATTTACAAACTTGTCCCTTTAATCGAATATCTAAGTTACCAAAAGGGGAAAAAGTAAAATTTTACATTGATTTATATTGAAATTACACACTTTATCATTGATTTACATTGATTAATCTGTAGCTTTTTATTTGGACTTTGGCTGATTTATATGTGTGTTGTTTTTTTTTTATTTTGAATCCTTGCTTTTTTTTAATAGTATTTTTTATGAAGAAGATATTTACCAAATGAACTATAATCTGAAAACGTAGTGCGTTTAAAAGTGAAAGGAATGTGGATAAGAGGACAAAAGCTGCTACTGTTAGCTCAGTTCTAGCTAATGCTAAAATCCAGTTTTCTGTCAAACTGTTTTGCATTTCAAAAAATAGTTTTCATTTAAGAAATTGGAAGAAAACTTGTCTTTCATCCCAGCTGCAGATATTTAAGTTACAATCTTCTGAAAATGATTGAAAACAAGATTAAGAATGAGTGGAAAAAGCTGCCAAAGTCTAGAGAATGATTAATGAAATATAACAAACTTTAACCATTTAGCTGTTGGTCAAACATTATGAATCATGGCATCTAAAGATTAATTAGAAAGAACATGGATTGGGAACAGAAATGAATAATGTTTTTCTCCTCTGTGTTAAAATATTTAAAAGAAAATTATACATTTGCCATAAAAATGTGTTTTTTATTGACTTGTATCCAAATTATATTGATCTTTAACTGGATTTTTCTTTTCTTTTTTTAATTAATTAGTTTTTTGTTTTTGGTTGATAAAAAACCTTCACAGATGTTTGAACTCTTAAAAAATGTTGTAAAAAGCCATTTCAGTGCATTGAGGCGTCTGAAATGACAGCTGCAATCTGAACCTGTGGTGCTTCAACTGCATCTATTGTTTTTTTTTATATTAACAGAATAAGGTTTTAGAAGTCAAAATCTGTATTTACCGTAGAATAATCCTGTCCAGATGTGAAAAGTGTAAGATTTTGAAAGGAGGCCGTTAGATTTGCTTCACAAACCTGCAGATTAAAGCTTCAGGTGACTCAACGCGAGTTCATGTGAGTTCATGTGAGTTTATGTGCCTCAACCTGTTTGATTCATCAACAGGTTGGAGTTAAGTGGTTTAATAAACACATGGAAGGCATTTCTCTGGAAATGATCGAGTATCTGAGGGAAACCGAGTGGAAAAGCAACAAAACTCCAAAGAGAAACGATGACGGATCGTCAGAAAACCTGGAAAACTGTGACTTTAAAATCGTTTGAAATGCAAAACCAAAACAGTCACTTCTAAAATGTGCTTCGTTGTGCAAAATATTACATATTAGGCTTTCAGATTATCAGGTTGACTTCATGTCTGCGCTTCAGCTTTCTTTGTTCACCTGGAGGAATGGAAAATCCAGGTTTTCTCAATCATCTTTCTGGATAATCTCCTGATTATCAGCCTGCCAGTCGACTCATGTTTGTTTGTCTCGACTCATAATCTGATGAAACACGTCTGCTGCGTTCCCAGAAACGCTTCTTTATTAGTAATATGAAGAGTTTATTAGCTTGATGTATTTATTCAGATGTTTTGAACGTTTAGTAGACATTAGATCATAGAGGAAGCTAAAATGAATTGGAATGCAGTTCTTCCTCTTTTTTATATAACTCTGTTCATTGAAAGTCACGTATCTCATCATTATGAGTGTAGATGAAACCAGAAGTTTACATACACCAAATAAAAAGACGCATTTTATTCCTCACTTGGTCTGGATTAAACCAGACCAAACTTTTCTTGTTTTATTCCATTTGCTCAAAGACACAATAATGAGAGAAAGAATCTGCCCCAGATTATTAAAGTCTTCAAAGCCAGAAGTGTGATGTCATGGCTTCGGAAACTTCTGATTGGTTAATTGACACGTTTGAGTTAATTGGAGTCACACCTGTGGATGGATTTTAAGGCCACACCTGGAACACTCTGCTTTCTGGATCGACACGATGGGAAAGTCAAAGTAAATCAGAAAAGATATCAGGAAGTGAATCACGGAGCAACACCAGGGCGGTTCTTCCTGGGGGACAGAAGATGGCGCCGTGTTCAGCAGTAAAGCGCCGTGGAGTCGCGGTAAAGCGCTGGAATTGTAGTAAAACTTTGGAGTTGCAGTAAAGTGCTGGAATTGTAGTAAAACTTTGGGGTTGCTGTAAAGTGCCTTAGAGTCGCTGTAAAGCGACATGCCGTTGCAGGTTCTGGCCCTGTAAGTACTGGGAGTTCAGAGGTTGTCGTCGGGCTGTGAGTGCAGCTGCTCAGAGATCTTCACACCCGGACTGATGACGGACGGGAGACGAGCCGAGCCGCTGACGGAACACAAAGAATGTCTCAGTCCGACATCCACAGCAGCTGGAGAGGACAAAGCGCCACTCTGACTGAAGAGACGGGGAGAGATCGGCCACAGCAGCAGGCTGCCAGTCACTTCACCATTTCAGGAGCTGCTGTTTGTGTTTGCGGAAACAGAAAAGAGAATCCCAGAACCGTCTCGTCTGTCTGGATCTCTGTCAAAATGAAAGTTGGAGTGAAGCGACCTCACCTGTTCTCAGCAGAGTCACGTCTGCAGGTGAAATCAGGTCACGCAGAGGCTGCAGCTCAGTTATTAAGAACTTATCTGGTAGCTTGAATATGAAGTAAATGAAGCTCATATGCTTTTGACCAGGAAGCATAATAATAATAATAATAATAATAATAATATTTCAGGTAAACAACTGGTTTAAGCTTTTCTTTCTTTCCTTTTCCCTATCAGATGACCTTTGAGGCGTCGAGCAGCGTGACCCTGCTGTTCGACTTCTGGAACGTTCATGGCCCTGCAGGTGAGCAAGGCTCCTTCGTGTCTGATGACCTTTGACCTGAGGTCAACCTGTCAGAACCAGAACGACTTGTTCAAATGTCACAGATCAGAACGCATGATAAAAGATCACAGAAACAAACTACCAAACTAAAAATGATCCCCAAACATCCAGACTGATTCTGGATGTAATGTTGAAATGTTCTCTGAATTTAGTTTATTTAGATTTCCTTTAAGTCTAACTACTTGGGTCTCAAGTCGAATGCCAAAGAGAAAACTTAAATAAATACTGTTAATAAGCAATAAATACTCCAAATAAATAAACGTCCTCATGAAATAAAAACAAAACAATTATTTTAATTCAGAGTTAATTATTTATTTCATAATGTTATTTTGTAACACTTATTTTGGAGCACTACGGGATTTATTTCCCGTTTTAATTTCATGTTCTTGTATTCAAATGAGTGGGCGGGGCTTCCGGTGTGGGCGGGGCTTCCGGTGTGGGCGGGGCTTCTGGTGTGGGAGGAGTTTATTTTGTGGGCGGGGCTTCATCTGGTTGTGTTACAAAGATGTAACAGTTTATTTGATTCTATATTTGCTAGCAGAATTTAGTAGTAAATACACTAATAAACTTGCACAATAACGGGAGATAATCAAATTTTAAGACTTTTGTTGAAAGTCTGAAATTCTTTTTAAGGTCAGTAAATTTAGAAAAATTAGAAACATTCAGAAAAAATCTGCCATGAAATTGGCATCGTCTCTCTTCTTTTTTATATTTTAAGCTCCGCCTCACAAAGGATCCGCCCCCTCATTTGAATATGAACATAAAACAGTAAAAAAATAAATGTCCCCAAACAAAAGTGTAAAAAAACTATTATGAAATAAATGAATGAATAAATACAGCTGTTATTAATTTAATGAAAAGTATATATACAAACAGATCATAACGTATTAAGATTAAAATCAACACATTCATCCCTTTAATCTAAATTATTCTGCTGAAACTGGTCTGTCAGTTATTTCAGAAATCTTAATATTGATCTCATTTAGATGCCTTGTTATTTAACTCATAGGAAGGGATTTAAAAAGTTTATTTTTGTGTTTTCTTTGTTTAATCTGTAGAGGAGTTCCTGGTTTCGAAGCGTTTGTCTCGGTCACGTCTCTGCCTGTTCCAGTAACAAACTCCTCCCAGCCTGCAGGTTTCATAAACATGAGAAAGAACCAGATGCTGTTCTGCTCTGCAGACGCTCAGTTTAATGTTTAACAGCCAAGACGGTCAGAATAAAACTTTTAATAATGTTTAACAGGATTTGATTGGGGATGTTTTTTCTAAGTTTTGCATTGAACGCCTGTTGATTTTGTTGCTTTTGGATTGAGATAAAACATGATAAAATGTCTGGTTGCTGTCAGAATTATAATAGTTCTGAGGTTTTCATTATAGTTAAAATTTTTTTGTGACTTTGTGTTTTAATTAGTTTTTCAGAGCGTGTTTGCTAGTTTTATTAGCTAAATATAGTTTAGTTATTTATGCTTAAAGTACCGTATAGTGATTGAAAGCTCAACAGAAGATAAAATATATAATCTTTTATTGTTGAACAACCAGCTGACTCTGCCGTATCCTGACTTTTGCGGTTTCCATTTTGTGGACTAGCTTAGCGTAGCGTAGCGGCCAGGAGGAATACGGAGCGCCGTAATTTCCCGACAACTGACATAAACTGCTTGTGTTTGGAAAAAAATCAATTTCACATCATTTAGAAAGCCTGATGGAATCATAAATATGAAAATTAAGGATATTATATCTATAATTTTAGTTTGTTTTAGTTAGTTTTATAAGGGCACTATATAGTTCTGTTAACTGAAATCTACGTTCTCAGTTTTCGTCATGTAGTCGGCTTCAGCTGGCTGTGATGACCCTGGTAGCTGTTCTGTGAGTCGGTTGTCTGTTTTCCTCTCTGCCTGCAGGCATGGTGCTGTCGGTGTTCATCGTCCTGCTGCTGACCGTCGTCTTTGAAATCCTCAAAGTGTGGCGGGTTTGGCTGAGCAGCGGCTCCCGGCTGGCCCAGCCTCCGTCGGCGTACGCCGCCGCGCCGTCCGGCCGCACGGAGAGCAGCTCCGCGCTGAACGCCAGCCCCTCCGAGTCCTCGCTCACCCCCACAGAGACCCAGCCGCCCAGGAACAGGTGGGAACGAGTCTCTGTTAGTAGCAGTGAGGCGATTATGCATATTCACACCAAACATATCCAGGACAAACATACTTATTGTTTATGTGGGGAACAAAGAGCAAAATGCAACGATCTGTTGTGCAATTTAAAAAAAAGTATGGATCAAGATTGTGTGCACAAACAAGGAATTTGATACATCTTAAGGGAAATTAAAGGCTTTTTCAGCAAAGTTGTAACATTCGTTACATTTTCAGCTACGGTTCTCTTTCACATTGCTTTGTTAAATGAACCAAACTATTTAAAAAACCTGTTTCCCTCCTCGCCTGTGGGGGCGCTACACCAAGAATCACTGAAGGAAATCAAACAAAAACCTCTGAAGCCACTGAACTCCACTTCCTTCTTAACAAAATGTAAGCAAAAATGGGGTAGCATCAGATTTTAGCGTTTGTAGAGTTTTCTCTCGCTAACGCTAGTTGTGCTGTAGTCCACTTCCTGCTTTTGGTGTTCACATACACATTCGAACAGCACCAGAGTTCACTTCAACCAAACTGAGAGCTTTTTTTTTGTATTTATTTAACCACTTACACCTTTTTATATTAATATCAGAGATGCAACTAGAATGGAATTTATTTTTTAAATAAGAAAATAAACAGAAAATAAACATTTTATTTCCTAAAATGCAACAACCTTTTAGTGAATTAGAAGCAGGTGAAGCCACTTGAGGAATTTTGGGTTAAACATTTTTATCTTGAGTTCAAGATAAAAATTTGTAGGAGTGAAGCGATTACAGCGATTTTATATATATATATATATATATGTGTGTGTGTGTGAGCTCTCTGTAATCGCACAACAATCTGTTGTGCAATTTTAAAATATATAGGCCTAATTACTCCTCTGAAAGTTATTTTAGCATTACGTCCGTATATTCCAGTTTATGATTAATCGTTTTCCAAAATTAGTTGACAGTTACTTGAATAATCGCAGTTAATCTGATTAATCGTTTCAGCCCTAATTTAAACATTTCTTCTCAAATATCTGCACTCTTAGTAAAATAAAGAAGCCTTAAGCAACAATTTTGACTATTTTTATTAATTTCTCTTGACTGAAGGGAACCAAAAAGATGCGGTAGTGGAGGTTTTTGTGTATCGTTTCACCCCAACTTGGCAACATGATGAAATGAGTGTATTGGTCTGCAGCTGGCTGCTGCACGTCATCCAGACGTGCCTCCACGTCCTGCAGGTGACGCTCGGCTACATGCTGATGCTCTGCGTCATGTCCTACAACGTCTGGATCTTCCTGGGCGTCGTCCTCGGCTCCGCCCTCGGCTATTACGTTGCCTTCCCTCTGCTGGGCCAGATGTCTCTGTACGGCCGGGTCCGGCACTGAACAGGTGAACGCGGCGATGAAAAGCCACTTTCTCTTGACTCCACTGCATCAGCGCAGAGAGCTGCCTCACAATGACTTGCAGAAACTCACTTGGACCTGGAAACCAGAACCGCAGGAGCTGACCAGGAAGTGTTTATCAGGCCAGAGTGGACGTGAGCACAAATAATGTGGTTTGTCTGGCTGCAGGGCTGATGGGTTGTTCTGTTAAAACATATCATGTCAGGAGGTGTGTGTGTGTGTGTGTGTGTGTGTGTGCGTGTGTGTGTGTGTGTGTGTGAATAAAAACAGCTTCTCCTCTCTGCCTCTCTGTTTTGGAAATAAAAGCTAATGTCTGCAATCCTTATAGTTGGTGCTGTTGTTGTCCAAACGTTTCGTCCTGAAGGCCAAAACTGGCTAATTTAAACAACATGCAGGCCACTTTTTCACTAAATTAAAAATGCAAAAAGTAATCATGTTTTTGTTCTACCTGCTTAACAATAAACTAAATTTACATCCACAACACAAATGACCTTCAGGCTTTTGACTTATTAAAAGAAAAACAAACAATTTACAATTTTTTGGGGTCATTGATTGTTTTCTATTCCATTGGCCAAATAGTTGCCATCCTTCACTGGTGACCAGGAGCCAAACAAAATCATTTCAAGGGTCACAAATGGCCCCCGGGCCACACTTTGGACACCCATGCACTATAGTAAAGCTTCAACACTTTGGTCAGAAATCTGCCTCTTTCAACAGATTGTTTACAAAGCAGATACTTTTTGTGTTTTTGGTTTTTGTGCGTGTTGCAGATTTTCAGTGAACTCAACTGAAGTGTCCTGCTAATTGAGGAAACATTTTTAGTCTGGAAACTCCTCTGATGAGTCACTTTGGCCATCAGCAGTCACATGCTCCATTTTGTTTTGTTTTTTTTGTCCGTCACAAACTGCTGTTGCCTTGAAGCCGTTTGTTTTTGCTTGAAATGAAAAACTTTTTACAACCCGTATCTTCAAAAGCTTGTGATCAGTGTTTGTGATTCTATATTTGTGGTTTTGTTTGAATCAAAAATAAAGATTAAAGCTACTGAATATTTGAATCTTTATTTGAAAATATAGACCTCCAACTCAGAAAAGTTGGGTGTTTTTGAGCATCTTTTGTTTGACAGTAATTTTAATTCCTTAGCCACATTTTGTCATTGAATGCATCATCGTGGCTGAATAATGTCCAAAGTCTATTTGATGCAAAAAGACACAGTTTGTCTTTTTCAGGGAGACATTTTCACAGAAATCTTCCTATAATGGAAAGTTGGCAAAAGACAGCTACAGCGAGCCCCGGCCTGTTCACAGCTCAGTATGTATGGAGTTTTTTGTGGAACAGATAATCTGCAGAAAACTTGACTCTGTCGTTTTTTTTTTTGTTTTTTTTTTGTAGATCATACTCGTACCTAAATGAATTAAAACAAAATGCACTTGTGGCCCCTAACCCGTGCAAATACCAGTTGTCCACTGTATTTTGGAAAGAATGACTATTAGACTTCATAACACTAGATACTTTTGTTTCAGATTGTGATTTAAAGAGCTTTTTAAAATTTATTACAGAGCCCTCACTATTTATTATTGATTTATCACTTGTTTTATTAACTATTGAACAAGTAAAATGCATATAAATTATTGTTTTTTTTTCCACAAAAAGCATGGCTTGCAAATACACCAGACCACAGTAAAAGAAAAAAAAATTACGACAATAGTCAGCTTGTTCTTGTATTATCACATTATTCTTGTAAATTTCTTTTTTCTTAGTGTAGCCTTAATATTCTGTCCTATGCAAGCGCTTCGAAGTCGTGCAAGAAAAATAATTGGCTGATGGAGTCACGTGTATGGAGCAAAAACAGTCTCATAACTCACAAACACACAAACCAAGAACCACAAATGCACAGAACAAGATACACACTTGTATTTTGATGCAAACACAGATATTTCTTGAGTTACAATCTGCTTGTGGCCTGTGGGTTGTGCTGCATTTGCATGTGAATTTTGAGACTCCCCTGATGTTCACACACAAATGCACAGAACAAGATGCACAAAACCAAGGTCTCAAAATTCACACATAAATGCAGCACAACCGACAAGGCAAATCAAGAAATAATCGGGCTGCATCAGAAATACAAACGTGGATATTTTTCTGTGCATTTGTGAATTATGAGACTGTTTCAGCTCCATACACGTGACACGAGTCAAGGTTCAGCTCCATCAGCGCGAGCGCGTCTTTCGTCACGTAGCGTAGCCAACGGCTTCTTTGCTAGCTTAGTTTTCACCGACAAATGAAACGGGGAAAATGACGGATATTTTATCAGGATGGTTTCACCTAAAGGCGGAAACCGGACTCCCGAACCTCCAGTTGAATTTAAAATTTCTCCGGAGTCCTAAAAGTGGATCTTGGTGCTGCTTTTATAAAGCGGGAGTCTTTTTCGGCGTTGTTAGCCTCTGATTCAGCTAGCAAGACCCGCTCTGGAGACTGTAATATCGCGGCTCCTGCTTTATTGTTTTGTCCTGTTTGATGGCACTTTTTTGGGGAAGCGTTTTTACTTTAAAAGTCTAAAATATTTAACCCGTAAATGCCAAGACTTTTGTAATTATGGGATTATTGTGTGTGCCTTCTTCAACGATGTCTTGAACAAGATGGTTGCCTTGAGAAATTATGAATCTATTGTACACCGCATCAGCTGTCCATGCCGAGAGGTTTTCCCTGATTCTTCCCATCTTTAAAACCCTTTTTGATTCAACATTACTTGGAGCCATGGGAGTGTGAGATCTTTGCATCGGCGGATGTTGCAGAGATGGCTTCATCCACATGAGGACACAGGAAGCCGACAGTTGGAGGTAAGACAGCAGTGCTGGCTTGTTTTGTAATCTGTAAGGTTCTCGGTCTGTTTATTATGTTTTATTCTCACAGTGATTTTAATAAAGATATTCTAGCTTGTTACTTAATGACTTCATTATGGAGTTAAAGAAACAAGAAAAAAAGGAGTTGGACCCTCAACCCTAAACTGGACTGCTGACCGACTCGTTTCAGTTATATATAAATATTTACTTTGTACTGTTTGAAATGTTGCTGGATGATATTTTGGTTAATTAACATTTAAATGAGTTTTATAAATTGTTTTGAAGGACATCAATAGTTGAGTATATAGAATATTATTGCCCTTTCGACAAACTGCTTTCCAAATGACTCATAATTCATCACCAGTTCTAATTAAGTTTTATGTCTGGAGAAATACACAAAACTACAAACCTTTATTATTTAAATAACTGAGAGCGTACAGCATGAGATAATCACCGCTATGATCCCGTTAATATGAGCGAATGAAATCAACTTTACAACAACATGACAGGTTAACAAACCCCATGAGATTATAAAAATATGAAACAAAAACAATAAAAAAAATCATATTTCACTCGATGTGTTTACTATAAACACGGTCATGTATTTAAAACGGATGTTGCTGGTTACCTTAGAAGGTCAATAATTATGTTGAAACATAAAAGAAATACAGGAGGTTCTCAGCTGTGGCTGTAGCGCCCCCTGCTGGTCAGATGCACGTATTTACAGCCAAATGAAGCAAGCAGATTAAACAAGCTGATAAAATGTTTGCAGATGATAAATTTAACCTGAGTGAAGTTGACAAAATTAGTGAGTTTCTGCAGTAAAATGTTTTGTTTGTGCCGCTATCATTTTAAATATGCTAATAAAAAAGTTTCCAGAGGTCATCATTAATGTCTTCACAGCAAACGCAGCACAAACGTAGCTGTGTTGTTTGACACCAGATCTGTTTTCTATTAATATCTTTAAAATTATAGCGGCACAAACGTTGCACAAACATTCAACACCAATTCCCTTAAATTTGGGTAACATGGGGGGTCTGATTGACCTTTAAACTTTCAATAATATCTTCAAAACAAAAGCAGCACAAACTAAATTTTTTGCTGCACAAGCCTGAGCAAATGTAGTCGAGTTAATCGACACCGATTTTGTCTGATTTGAAGAAGGTGGGGGTTGATTGACCTTTTATGACCTCTGGAAACATTAATAACTTTACAATGATAGCGGCACAAACAAAACCTTTTGCTGCACAAACATTGACTCCAATATTGTTAGATTTGTAGAAAGTGGGAGGAGCCAAACTTCACTCAGGTATGAGTTTAATGTTCTGTTCTTCTAACGATTGTTTCTGGTTAAATGTCTGACAAACACATTAATAAATAAATCTATATTTTCTCAGTGTGTTTTGGGTTTTTACAGTTTTCTATGCTAGCAGCAGTTCCACGTCCACCAGGTCGGCCGTTGGGTCCGAACCGTTGGTGATCGTTTCGGCCTCGTTGGTCGGGGACTGGAAGCCGCTGTCGTCGTTGCGCGAGCCGCAGTCCGTTGCTAGCGGCTGAGACTCTGTGTCGGAGGCGTCTGCCGCGTGTTCGCTCGCTTCCTGTTCGCTCGCTTCCTGTTCGCTCACTTCCTGTTCGCTCGCTTCCTGTTCGCTCGCTTCCTGTTCGCTCACTTCCTGTTCGCTCGCTTCCTGTTCGCTCGCCTGTTCGCTGTCCTCCTCCTGCACAGCCATCTCCATCTCCTTGATGGCTCTCTGGATGGCCGCTTCGTCCTGCAGCTCCTTCTGCTTCCTGCTGCCCATCAGCTCCTCCATGATGGACTTGGACTTGCTGAGGCTGTCGCCCACGATGGTGGTGACATGCGTCACTTCCTCCTGCAGCCCGTCCTCCATGGTGACGGTGCCGTTGGTGGTCTCCGTCCCGGTGGTGGCGTCCTCCTCTGGACCCGGCAGAACCACCTCCACCACCGGGTTGATCAAGTCTCTGATTTGGGTCACGCTGTCAGGAGACTTCGGGTTCTCGGACTGACCCGGGTTCTCCTCGTTTTCCTCACTGTCGTCCTCGGCAAAGTCCCCGTCCTCCTCGGGAATGAGTTCCACCCCGGGGACCTCGAGGCAGGACTCGTACGGGATGGGCAGCCCCTCCAGTTGGATCATGGAGACCACCTGCTTACGTCTGCCTCTGAATCCCTTTTCTTCGCCGCCTTCCCCACCGTCGGATCCGAACTTGGCGCCCCAGTCCACCGACGGGGTTTCCTCCAGGAGGTGCAGGTTGGGGTCGCTGTTGGTCAGAACGATGCTGTCTCTGTACAGGTTGTGTCTCCGCTGCACCGCCGCCTCCTTCACCGCTGGACAAACGTAAAACAGACACAAAGTCATTTGTCTTCACACAGTTCCTGCATGCTTTTATTTTAAATTTCAGAAAAGGAGTTCGCACATTTGCCTGTCACAATAACAGATTCCTGGACGATAAATTGTCCCACAAATTATTGCGATAAACAATATTTTGTTTAATCTATTAATAATGGTATAATAATGCAAATTTAGCTGCTCAAAGATAAATAAAACTTAATTTTTAAAGATCTAACATTGTAACAAACAAAGCAAAATGACCAAAAACAATAAAAACATCCAAGACATTTTAAATATTTAAACAATAAACACAAAAACATTGAATAGATTATGAAGTCGACAAAAAATTTTAAAATATCACTACGTTATTATGTTATTGGAATACCAACCTAAATACCAACTATAACCTAAAAAACCAAACCTTATTAAAATGGAATTAAAATAAATATAATTTTTTGCACTTAGCCTGGTGGGAGCAAATAAAGCCTGGTGGCCCGCCAGGCTTATAATGCACTGAGGCTAACTGATCTTTACAATATTAAAGTTTATTAATCTTAATATTATATCATTTTCAATATATTTCCTTGAAAATTGCCTCCAAACAACAATGTTGTAATTTATCCCAATTCCTCATAAAATCATTTCTTTTTGGAGGGAAGTGAAAGGACAGTGTTTTTGTTTTTTTTTGTCCTCACCCATCATGATGTCCTTGGAGACGGACTGCAGGACGACCTCTTCGTACATGTTCTCCACCAGCAGGAAGTGGGACAAGTCCTCAAAGATCAGCTCCTGGAAGCGAGGCAGCTCCTGCAGAGAGCATCACAACTTTAACACGTTGAACCGACATCTGCAGGAGCGAGGCAGAGCCGCTGCGTTACTGACTGGTGTGCAGGACGGGGCGAGCTGCTGCAGCATGTAGGGGATGATGATCTGCAGCAGAGCCTCTCTGAAGAACTTCTTCCGCACCGTGCTGCTGTCGTAGTCGTATTTCTGACAGGAACACAAACAGAGCCGACTGTTTTCATCCTGCTTGTTAAAAATAAATCAGATTATAACGCAGATCTGCGGCTGGTTCACCTTGATAACTCTGTCCTGACACTTCTGGATGTTTTTGCAGAGGTCCTCCTCGCCCTGCGCCTCCAGAGCCTGGTGGAGCAGCTGCTCAAACGTGAACACCGCGTTGTCCATTTGCTGCCCAGACGAGCAAATTTAAAACGTTTTCACACATGAAACTCCATCATGAATTAATGCAGAAGTTTAAACCTGGAAAATCCAAAGACTGCAAACAAGGAAGAGACGGACGGAGAACTGCAGTACTGTAGCAGGAAATGTCACAAACCAAAGCGTGCTCTGCATGCAGAATGCTGCACTTTTAATATTATTTGAATTTTAATGGAAGCAAATTATATTAAAATTAATTTAAATAACATTTACAGCTGGTTGGATAAACTTTCCCTGCCCTTAACGCCCAAACGTCATGTTCATTTGTTTATTTATTGTCTTTTAAAAGCTGAAAATGTAAATCTAAAGATTTAGCTGGAATATCGTCATGGCAACGTTCATCATATCATGCAGCCCTAGAAATTAATGGATCAGTTGGTGGATAAAAAATTGGGACTAAAATCACTCAAATATATATTTTTTGAAGCCTGGGAAATACCTGAATCTCATTCCAATGTTTTCCTGCTGTGGAGTTTCAGGATAACTGTAGATGAAATATTTAAAATTGGCCGTGGAGTGAATTTCCATTAAAAAAACAAAAAACAAAACAACTAATTTTACATAATTACAAGAAAAAACTTTTAAATCTTCCTTTATCAAAAAGTTATAACAAATTAAAAGTTTTCATAAGTAAAGCCATAAATTTACAATAAATATCGTCTGACACTGCAGTTAGGAAGTTGTAAGGAAGAAAAAATAATGCCAGAAAGTCAGTGGTAAATGTAGATGCCAAAATTTCCACTTAACTTCATATTTTGATCAATCTGATGTTGTAATTTGTAAATATTAAATGATTAATTTGATCACTTACTCAGTACTAGAGTAGACTTCATACCAAATACCTTTTCCTTACTGGAGTATAATTTTCGGGTTCTCTGCCCACCTCTGGTTATTGGTCATATTCACAGGAAGTGTGTTGTGTGTAAAAGGCCAGCAGGTGGCAGCAGAGCGGCGTGATCTCACCTCCCTCATGAGTATCTGGGCTCTGCTGACGAACACGTTGGGGCTGGAGACGTCGAACCTCTGCTGCAGCCCCTCCAGGTTCAGCTGCTGCATCTGCTGGTAGCCGCTCTGCATCTTCACCGGGTGGAAGGCCAGCATGGACAGCCGCTCCAGCTGCTGCAGCACAACCAAAAACGCACACAATGATCTCAGGCGTAGCCTCAGACACTCCCTGATTGGCAATCTGAGGTCGCCGTGTTCCTCCGCTCACCTCTCCCAGCTTGTCTTTGCCGCCGCCGTTGAGCGAGTTCTTGCTGATCTCCACCACCTCCTTGAAGAAAGTGTCCCGGACCTCGGCGAAGCCACGGCTGGTGGGCTCCATCAGGGCCTCCAGGATGGAGCCCAGGTACGACTGGATGCTGCTGCGCAGGAGCTGCTCGGCTTTCGGCATCACCAGGGCTGGAGGGCGACAAAACAGCAGAAGAAGAGTCAGAACACCTGTGGGTTTCTCTCAGGAACACATGTCGTGTTCTTCTGCAGAATTTTACAGACTGATTGTTCAGCACGTGGCTGGAATGCAGATCTTCCACCGCGCCTTAATAAGAAGAGCCGCATGTTTGAGATGATGAGACAATGTCAAGATCAGCGGACGACATGCTTTATGGCTCATTTTTAAAGTGTAAAAGTTCACTGTGATGACAGAAAACACAAAACAAGAAGGAAAAAACAGGAAAGATGTTTGGATGTGGACTAAAAGTCTAGAAGTTTAAATATTATTCTCCTGTGACAAGTACCGGAGATAAAAAGCGAAAAAATGTGGTTGTGTTGGTTTATTTCCACCCAAAAAAAACAAGAAAAAAATATGCGTTTCCTTCTTAAATTTATATCTACACCAAATCCTAAACGTTCTCGACTGTTTAAGAAATTTCAAATCAACATCTTGGTCTCAGAGGAAATGCAGGCCATAAAATGAGCCACAAATTTGGGTTGAAAAACTTGATTAAAGCGTCGAGGAAGCAAAGAAACAAAGAACTTGAGTAAGAGCCTCTATTTAAATAACCTGTTTGCATTTCTTAAGCTCATTTAAACGTCGTGTTGTTTAGGTTTAGTTCAACATGACATTAAAATTCCCATAAAAGGAAAAGCTGCTGAGCTGCTTTATTCTTTAACTTGCAATGCTGACATGATGACATCACCAAAAACAGGAAGCCTCCTCTCGATGTGTCATATTAGACCAATCAGAACAAACGGAGATGAAAACTGGAACCTAAAATAAGAGATGAATCATAAAATAAACCAGATGAGCTTCTCAGAATGTTTTCAGACTGCGGCCATGATGTAAAACATTGAATTCAGAGCAGTAAGCCCTAAAGATGCAGTATGTAGCTTTTATAAAATATATTTTTAAATATTTGTTGAAACTGTAACTATAGTGACACTTTAATGTGACAGATAATCTGTATCCAATCAGAGCCAGGAGGCGGATCTTACTGCTGTCAATCATCCTTCTCATACACCCTCTTGCTTCCTGCTAGGCTGCAGCTAACCTCTATGCTGAGGCTAGTTAGCATAGCCACCGATGACGGTAGAGAAACGCTAACAGTAAGCCGTCTCCCCGTCATTCATAAGGTTGATTGGCAGCGTTAAGCCCCGCCTCCTGGCTCTGATTGGTTGTTTTTGGTGCATTTCTTTATATAACAGCAGCTCATGGAGAAGGTGGAGGAGATCGATCTTTTCACAGATTATCCGTCTCATATTTTACTGTCACAACAGGGTTTAACAGAAATGTGAAAAACATTTATTTATTTGTGAAAGTTGCATTCTGCAGCTTTAAACCAGCAACTTCTAACTCCAACCACCTCTGATCTTGCTGATGACGTGTTCTTTGGTCGTGACCAGCATGTCCATGTCGCCGCGCAGTCTGGCGTCCAGCGAAGGCTTCTGGGCCTCACAGGCGTTCACCAGGGCGGCGTACTGGCCGTTGGTCTGGGTCAGAACCTGCCGGTACACGGCGTCAGAGATCTGGAGAACAGGGAGACGGTCAGTCAGAGAGGCTGAATGGGCTGAGAACGTGTCGGTGCTACAGAAACTCACCAACATCCACTTCCTCTGTCTGTCCTGCAGCTTCCCCTTCAGCCGAGGGCCAATCGCATTTCTGAGCTCAGGCTGGAGCGTCTCCAGAACCAGGTTAGCCAGGATCTGAAAGACAGAACCCAGTCGTCATGGAGACGAACAGTTCAGGATGCAACGACCTAGAGAAATACCTAGAGATAAATCTGATGAACGGACGGACAGACCGTTGGATGGATGGATTAATAAACCAATGGATTGAATTTAGGACATTAGCGGTTACTGCTTAGCATTTAGCTTGCATTAGCATGTTGCTAAGTAACACCGGCTAACCAGCCCTACCTAAAGATGTCAGGTTTCAGAAATGAAGGTTGGAGAAAACTTACAATGAAACGTGTCAAAAATAAAAGCTTCATCTGAATGTAGATCTGATTGAACTGAAATTACATTTTTGGTGAAGTACCTCGTAATGAACTGAATTAAAAATGAGCCATCTGCTCTTATTTTAGTTTCCCTGCATTTTGCTAGCTGTAGTCAACCAATCAGATGTTTAAAAACAGAACTCCCTCCTTCCTGTGGCTGCATGGTCGCGTTAGGGAGGCTGATTTACGGAGGACACATCGACCTCAGCACCAACATGTTTACTGAGACATTGTTCAGATTGGATAAACTCCACTGTTACCGCCTGTTTATTTAAAAGCTTGTTAGTCTGGAAGCAGCCTGCAAGATGAAACGGTATCAGCTTGCAGCAAATATTGTGGTTTTAGTCCGAGTCACAAACTTAGAAAAAATTTATGTTTGTACATACTTTGTTTTTTGAGATATATAGTTTTTTTCTTTTCATTTTAAATATATTTTTTCTCTTTTCTAATATCTTATAAATGTATATATATTTTGTAGAAAATATATTCTAAATTTTCTTTTTAAGAAATGTATCAATTTTTTTTAAAAAAGAAAAAAAATCTTTTAAAAATGTATTCTTTTTTAAATATATTTTCCTTTTTTAAATACATTACATTTCTTAAAAAAATACATTAAAGTTTTGTCTTTAAATTAAAAAAAAATCTTTAAGAAAATATTTTCTTAAAATAATGTGTGTATATGAGAAATTTGTTTCTTAAAATATTTTTTAAGAAAAGTTTTTTTTAAAGAAAAAAAAATATTTTAACTATATTTTATGAAAAATTATTTTCTTAAGAAATACTTTTACATATAAATAAACATGTAAAGCAGCAGACTGCAGGCTATGTAACCAAGGCATTAACTTTACAACAATCAAAATGAAGTATTCTCATTATAATCTAATTTTTATATATCTATGTAGCATAAAAAGTGCCTTGCTGCATATTTTCTTTTGCTCCTTGCATTTCTTTTGTCACACCTAAATATTCCATATCAAGCATATTTCACACAGCTGCTGCAGGAACGCAGAAAAATATGTTGCTGCTTGTTTTCAGTTCTGCCCTGAAGGCCCTGGCAGCTCAAAGGGCGAGAGGCGGCTTCAGGATTACTGAAACTATTCAGGCTTTGTGTTTATTTTTATAGCTGTCCTTCACACTGTGAAAGGGCTGAAATAGAAATATTAATGTCAAATTTAACTCCTTGGCTGCTAATTATGAACACATTAATGTGGGGGTTGTTTTTGTGGCTGTGTTCAGGAAACGGGATGGTAAATTTGAATAATTGAAGTGTATGGAGGAAATTCAGAAACACAAAGATTCGGTAGAAACTGAATGTAAATTATTTAGAGAGATGATAATCAGAAATGTTAATAAAAGGTCCAGATTCTAGGAGGAAACCTCTGTTAAAAGCAGCGCTGCACGTCTCTCATCACCTCCACCTGAACTCTCCCTCAGAAATACTTTCTCTGTGTTCAACCTGAAGGAAATGCGTCACCATGGTAACAATCCTCCCTTCAATTAGGGCGTGGCTCGTTAAAATATGCAGAGGCTCCCGCTGAGTTTATGTTGTGAACATGCTTGAGTTGTGAATAATTTAAGGTCCTGACCTGAGGCGGCGATCCGCACATCATCTCCCAGGTGCCGTAGTGACCTTTGACCTGTCTGTAGCGCCTCACAGAGTCGGTGAAGGCCGGAGTCTGGACCGTGTTTTCCTCTGACAGAGCTGGACAGAAACAAAGGCAAATACACACTAATGATCAAAAAAAAAATAATACTAATGGTGAAAAATAAGTTGATAAATACAATAATTAAAAATAAGAAAAAATTAATTAATGCAGAAAAATTAAACGTATATATTTATAAAATGTAGCTGAAAAGAATTGAAGGAATAAGTTTTTATGTACTTATAAAATATAAGTATAATTTAAAATGGTTTATTTATTAGATAATGAAAAAAATTTAAATATTAAAGTAAATGAAAAATAATTCAAATATTAAATAAAATAGTGCGTAGAAATACGATCAATAAGCTGTTGAAAACATCAGAAAAACATCACAAATATTTTAACCATAATTACAAAATTCTGAGAAAAACAAACAAAAAATTGTGATTATTAAAATAAAATAAACCTAAAACAATGCATAAGAAAATACAATAAACTTAATATTGCAAAATTATGAAAAGTATGGAAATTGACCACATAAAATTATGACAAGTAAAATATGAAAATGTTAAAACTTTTCTGTCTTTTATTTTATGTCATAAACTTCAACGAGTAAAAAAATAGTTTTTTTTTTTTAAATATTTGGATTTATTTTGTTTCCCTGCCAACTGAGTCACATCTGCATCAGAGAGGGAACATCTCTGATGCACCGTCACACTCGTCTGTGTGGAGCCCAAAAACAGGAAGATGTTGACCCGCTGGTTGCCACGGCAACCCTCCCCGTGTCCCCCCAGCCAATGGGACGACGGAACAAAATGTCGGATCGGTTTGAGGAAGTTTACTCTCACGAAAACAGAACCGGGCTTCTGATTCTGAGTCGCTCCGTCCCAGATGAGTTTTTACAGTCAATTACGAACAGCAGTGAAAACTTTATGCGCTGGAGCTGCTGGTGGCAGCAGGTTGCATGAGAAGCAGCAGGTTGCATGAGAAGCAGCAGCTTCCTGCTCTCCAGTTGGATGCTGAGTTAGACAGGAAGCCACAGTGGTGATTTGTTTGTTGAAAGCTCTAACACACACACACACCGTCGAGGGCCCGTCAGGCCGTTGACGAGTGTGTGACTAAGAGGCGGCTCACAAAGACAGGAAGTTACCCAGAACTCTGGACGAGGAGGGAACCAGACAGGAAGTTCTGCTGAGCTCTGGACTTTGGGCTCCATGTTCTCTGGATAAATGGCCACAGCACTCAGACTCACATCACACCAGACTGATCAGCATCACTGGGACCAGTCCGGACATAAATATGAATCTTCCTGCGTTCAGATTAAAATGCAGCGAAGGGAGAAGCTTAAAAATGCGCTGGATCAACCTGTTGACATTCCTGTGGCTCCAGGCCCATTTCAGACGCTGTGACTAATCCAGAAGAGAGCAAAGTTCAACATACTGGATGTTTTCTTCATTAAAATATATAAATATCTCATTACTGTTTCACTGCAGTCGCCCTGATGCAGCCCAGCAAAGTCACCATTTACTGCTCTTATTTCTATTTACTTTTAAAAATTATTTTAGCCTTTTGTTTTTTAAACTATTAATTCTTATCTGTAAATCCTTTTAAACAGCATTTTATGTGTAATATTTTATTTATTTACACATAATTCTGATCTTTAGTTTCTCTTCCATCTGAGGAACTAAATCTGATACAAATCAGTTTTTCAAACAATCTGCAGTCAGAACAATCATGTCGCATTTAAGCAGACCTTTACGTGATTTATCTTTTAAAGTTAGATATGTGGCATAAATCTGCAGCAGAAGAAGCCTGGAAAAAAATTATGTGACAGTTGGAATAATGTGACAAATACTCATGTTTTAGGAGATTAAAGTTGAAATAATATGATAATAAAATCATAATAGATGAAAAAGTCATAAAATGAGGATAATAAAATAATTTAGTTATATCTTAGAAGAATAAATAATATGAAAATAGTCAATAATGCAGTCAAACTTATACAATTAAGTTGTAATGTTATGTCAGTAGTATGAATTTTTAGAGAACTCTAATAAAAGTAAAGATGAATGTTGAGCATCTTCTGAATTTCTTATCTGTTTTACAAATCACCCATTCTTCATCGTTTAACACATCAACATCAAATTATTTAACTTCGAAACGATGAAACAAAATCTGATATGATTGATTCAATCAAAGCTTTTTTCTCTTAACTTCATGTCTTTATTCTGCTAATATTATGACTTTAATCTCATAAATGTTTCAGATTAATCACATAATTAATCTGAAACATAATTATTCTCGACTGCAAAGAAAAACATTAAATCTTAATTTTATGCATTTTTCCAGGAGCTCTCCATGTTTTATCCTGTCAGGCCTGAAAAAATCTAAACATTTTCCAGCAACAAGCTGAGTTCAGATTACAGCTGTGCTGCTCTGTGTGTGTGTGTGTGTGTGTGTGTTGAATGTATTATTAATAGAACATGTGGCAGCACTTACCACGGTGGTTTTATTTAAGGCATTTCCCTTTCTGCCCGCCTCACCAACACTCAGCCGGTTCTCTCTTTCCTCTCTGACCTCACAGAACGTTTTTCTCTTTGCTTTTTGTCATCTTCCTCCCGCCTTTAAAGTAAAATCCGGTTTAATTTAAGCACGTCTTTCTTTCACACTTCATACAGCGACAAGCATGAGTGCGAGTTCCCCATATGGTTGTAGTGAATGGAAGCAGCCAAACCCACAGGACAGTAAACACCCACTGAAACACACCATCAGCCGCAGACATCACAGCCGCTGAGCAGCTTTAGGTCCCTGCCTGCCGGCCGCCCGCCGGCCTGGGAGCGAATGGGAGCTGCAGACCCAGTCATGGTTTATTTAAGACGTTCTGGAAGCTAACACACACACACAACCAGGCATCACATCGTAAAGCAACGTGCAAAGAGCAAGTTAAGACGCCTAGTCAAAGTTTAGGCCTAAAATACGTGAGTCTGACGTCCTGCATCCATTCAGCCTGATTAAACATTAAGTATTTTTGCAAAATTACTAATGTACTCAAAACTTAATTTTCCTCACATCATATTTTGTAAAATCCCAATAAAATGCTGTAAAGTTTGTTTTAATCAATATGGAGCCGCTCCAGGTGTCCAGTTCTACATTTCTAGAGTGTGACCAGTTTTAGTCGGACCTTCCTGCTGAGCCGATGATTAACTGAACGATTTGCAAACCATCTTGTTAAGGTGATGCAAAGCAGCGGCCGGTCGCTCTGCTGGCCGATTATCGAGGATGGAACAAAGAAAGCTTTAGCCGATTCAAATGAGCCCTCGGTTTGTCTGAGTCAGCATTTAACTTGCGGTTTCTCCACATCAGAGTGAGCTGAACTGTGTCCAGCTGAAGAAAAGGCTTTATATTCCATCTAGATTGAGATGGTATTGAGAATAATTGATAAAAGCCAAAAATAAATAATTATCTCTGCAATGTTTCACATTCCTATTCCGTTTTTCTGGTTTAATATTTTCAGATGTCTGCCACTGTGAGGCGGAACCACTGGAGATAAATGTTGAATATGGAGCAATGAGAATCACCAAACTGATTCTGATAAAACCTGATGGTTCTCATGAGGATAATAGTCAAAACCTCGGGGTTACAAACATCCACTTCTATCTCAGATGACCTGTTATGGTCTGGAAGGAAACATTAAGATTTGTTTTCATCTATTGATTTATAAGGAACATTAAAGCACATAATAATGCAAACTTAACACTTAAGAAGAAATGGAAAGTTTAAAAAGGAATGTGCTAAAAACATTAAAAGCAACAGAGAAGCTTGTTGTCACGGCGTCTGTTCTGTAAATTAAAAGTGAAAGCACTGACGTGTGTAATGGTGTTGCTAAAGCTAAACGTCTGTCCCAGCCATCGACATCTACTCAAGCAGAAAAGGTTTTATTTTGTAAATGCGTTGCAACATAAATATTACATCACACCTGCTTTTCCACCTGGCAGAAATCAAACAAGTCCATTCATGCGAATGTTAGCCTGCGTTTCTTCATCAGTGAGGAATATGTGAGAGTTCACATGTTCCTCACTTCCTGCTCTTCACCATTCCTCAAAATCAACCGCATTGAAAATCAGAAACGTGACCTTTGTTGTTGAATGGAGGCGATGAGCGCGCCGCCAACTGAAGATCACCAAGGCAGGAGGTGAGGCGTGACAACACAACAAACAGAGAGGCTCTGCTTCCTGCTGCGTCTCTGTTTTCAGTGTCTCTAAACAATGAGATGTGACTCATGTCACTGCAAGAAGAGACGGATCAAGAGTCGCTCCCTGCCCTGATGAAAGGGACCAAGAAAAACTAAAGTTTCCTCCTCAGTGCTAATATTCCCAAACATAAACAAAACTGAAAATTACAGTTTTTTGTTTAATCCACCAAAGTGGCGTAAAAATGACCAAACATCTGTGGAGACTTTGAAGAACGTAGCTTTATTCCTCCAGAAACTAACGCTACGTTCACACTGTTGATGCTTGATTGTGATTTTCATTCTGTTGCTGAAATCCAGTTTATTCTGCGTCATTATTTATACCACGTCAAGTTTCCGGCCCGCTGCAGCTTTTTATGTGGCCCTCTAGATTCTAGACTAAACACTAACTGTGCTTAAATATCATCCTGTCAATCAAATCAATGCAGTTTTTATCCATTTACTGCCAAGTTATATCAACCAGTCCTTCCAGTTTCTTGAGATTTATTGTGGAAATTCACACAAAATCAACAAATCTCCACATTTTTTGTGCTAATTATTGGGAGTTTATTGAAGATTTTTCATAGAAATTGTCAAAAACATTCTTACTTGTACTGAACAGCTGCCTCAGCCGTAATTCATGTCAGATTATAATCCATGTTCCATACAGAGAGTAATAAAAAGTTGCATTTACCTCATTTAGAGATGACAAATGGTGCTTAGGGATTGACTGCTGAACAAACACCAACCAATAGTGTCAAGTAGATTTGTGCCAAAATATTTCAGCTTCCTAAACTGCATTTTCTTTTGAATATTTTACATTCGCGCTACGTAAACCTCTAGAAATAGACACATTTTCCACGAATTCTGAACTGTTACTATTCGTACAAAAAGTAGAAGGAAAGCTTCTGGGTTGTTTCTGGTGCTCAATTAAAAGACGGAGCTTGTTTTCTAAAGTAAATCTCTAAATTAAGGTTTTCCTCTGTGTCCCGCTGCGTATCTGATGTCATTACCATTGTTGCTGTGTCTGACGCAGTCCTGCAGCACGGCGTGCCACTTCTTCTGCTCCTTCTCCGTCACCACGCAGAAGTAGTAGTGGCGGGCGTACGGGTGCCACAGGATCAGCGGGAACTGGGTCGGACACTTGATGAAGGGAGCGTTGCTCGGTTTGGCCTTGATTTCTGAAACAAAGAACAGAATGAGTCATTTGACATAGTTTGGACAGAAAATATTTAAAAAAGGTTGAAGAGACGTGGCTTTATAGGTCAATGCTTTGGTATGCTAAATGCTAGCCTAATTCACCATTCTGATCAGGAAAATCAAAATGGATCCGATGTTTATTAAACTCTGTAGAAACAAAAAATAAGTAGTTAAAGGTCTACACACGTAGCTGAATCTAAAACAAATTAAAGTGTCTGCACACATAGAAATCAGAAAAGATGTAATCCACATGAACTCGCATGAATCTGCTCTGAGTGTTTTAAACATGCCAGGCCCATAGGGGGCAGTGTAGCACAGAGCTAAAACCTGCGTCAGCCAATCAGATCGCTTCAAAAACACTTTAATATTACTATTTAGTAATGTTGGAACATTTTGTCGACTCGCTTTCATTTAATGTTTGCAGGTCAGTAAGATGCATTTCATTCAGTAATAATGTAAATTTAGTAGAATAACTTATTTTATCACATTTGACTGACAACATGCTAGCTAATGTTAAAGCAGCAAGATAAATGCGGGTAACCATGGCAACCAGTGAGCGTTTAAAGTCCGACATCCACCGTGTTTACAAACAATCCCTCTGTCATGTAAGCGCTGTGAGAGAATCAGGCGTTTTATTTTTGTCTTCATAATTTATTTTTTTATCTCTCCCACAAACTGTGGGAGTTTTAGAACCGTCAAAATCAACTGAAATTTCTCTACAAATGAATATTTTCCAGAATTTTAGTGATTTGTGTCGTGCTTTGTGATGTAATAGCAGTGAAACACTGAAACCCTAAAGGGCTAATTCATAAACATTAGTTCTGCAGAAGCTAATGCTAAAGCGCTAACATGAGATCACTTCAACACAACCACGATTTCCTGTTGGGAATTAAACATGGCGCCAGAAGTCCATTTGTGTGGACAGATTAGAATATAAAGTTGTCGTCTGGGAATCATGTGGATATATTGGTGTGTTATTAGTAACAGACTGTAATGTGCGGGAACCTAAATCTCCATTTTTTTTCAATGTAACAAAACCAAAGTTTCTCAAATCTCCACTTTGGTTGGAGTTTTTGTTTGGATGAAATGGCAAAACGTTTAAAAATCAAATTGGTATCCCAAACATTCAGGAAAACGTGTTACTCTAAGTAGGAAAGAAACATTTCCCATGTCTGAGGAGACGATTGTTGTGAAAAATGATGACACTACGGCTGCATTTTGAGGCGTTGGGATGGTTTTCCCACCTGACAGGCTGCTGTTGAGCAGCTCCACGTACTCCTCCATGGAGGTCAGGGCCTTGTACCCGGCGCAGTTAATGGAAATCTTTGGATGCAGATTTCGGTCGTGGGCCTGCGAAGCAAACATTGGGTAACAAGCTGGTTTCAGATCCTCAGAACCAGAACCAGACTCCGACGTCCACTCACCGCTTTGCTCTCGTAGAGGTTGATGGCGTAGCTGTTTGGGATGAAGACGAAACGGTTCCTCCACTTCCGGTTCTCCTCCAGATACTGGAACAAACTCCCGGAGAAGATGGTGTGACCCGCCAGAGCGTCCTGGAAGAATCAAAGATCTTCCGTTAATCCTGACGTAAATCTGACTGGACGTATTTCTGACACGTTTTGGATTTATTTCATTCCCACGAGTCTTAAAACCTGAACAGGAATTTCCCAACAGTGATGGGAGGAGAGTTTTACCTCAAGGTGTTTACAGAAGGATGTGCAACACCCTGGTTTGTTTGCAGAGTTCCTGTCTTGGATCAAACAATTCCCACTCAAAGGCGAGGAAAGTTTAAGTTACAGCAGATTTACTCTTATGTATTTTAAAACTTATATTTAACCATAAATGCATCAATTAATAATCAAAGAAGTGTTGCTTAAAGGTGTCAGATAATACAGGATAGCATTAATCTAATGGATTTATTAGTTAGGATTTTATTTCATTGCACCATATTTTGAGGGTTTTCATCAAATTAAATTTGATGATTAAAAACAGAACAAAATGGAAGATTTTTCATGCGTATGAGCAGCTGCCCTCTGTTCATGAGTGAAATGTGCTCCAGTTTCCCTCAGTGATGGTTGGAAAACAGCGTCATTCATTAAAGATGCACAAAAATAAACTAAAACATTCAGTAACATGCTGGATCGGCTCATTTCATGCAACAAAACCAACTGTGATCCCTTCAAAATAAAGTCAGAAATCTTTCAACATCTCAATACATAAAATTTATGATTTGACTTTGTTCAATTCAGATTGTCACACCAAGGCAGTTTATTTAAATACAGCCACATTCTGATCTAATTATGTTCACTCTCCAGTAACTCTATTAGTTTAGCTGCTACTTCAAACAATCAGCCAATCACATTTATGCTTCTACAAAGCTTTGTGTAAATCAGCAGAGTTTCACTTCTCTACATAATTATATTTTAGGGTTTGACATTGAGAGATTTTGGCTTCATTCATAAAAGATGCGTTAATGTTATATTTAAATGGGCGTGACTTTACTTATTGTAGCGCGTCACCGCTGTGAGGGGATCAGGCGTTTTATTTTGAAACTTTGTGAGTTTTAGAACCGTCAAAATCAACTGAAATACCTTTCCAAATAAATATTTTCAGGATTTTTAGTGATTTAAGTCACACTTTATGAAACACTGAAACCCTAAGGGGCTAATCATAAATGCTATGCTAAGGCTATGACGCCATACAAGAACTGTATTTTGCAGAATGCTAATGCTAAGCCGCTAACATCAATTCACATTATTTGAGAGACTGCAGCCCTTGAACAACAATTTAATTTTGGCATTATTCTTCTCTACTGTCTATTTTTTGTTACTTGTTTGAAAAAAAGTTATTTGGGAAAAAAAGAGAGGAAACAGAGCAGTCATTCACTTCAAAATAAAAGCATGAATATGTGTCTACTTAAATTAAGTTGACAACCAAAACTTGAACACAGATGTTGAACTTTATTCAACTGAAAGTTTACAGTCAAGTAAATTAGTGCTTTAGAATTAATTTAGGGGAAGCTAAGTGTGCTAAATTGTTTGAGTTAGCTCTGAAATTCATCCTGTGTTGGTCTGATTTTAAGGAGGTGGTTTCTGTTCTTAGATCTGAAAGCTGCTTGAATGACTCAGTCTGAACAGGGCAAATAAATAAAAAACTACTGGAAGTTAACAGATTAAAACATAATAGAGGGAGCGGCGCGTCTGTTAGCTTGATTAGTTTTCTGAATGAAGCAGCAACACAGATGCAGGGAGGATCAGGAAGGAGTCACCGTCTCGTCATCAGATGATTTACCTAAACAACGCCGCAGTGAAAACACAAAACACCCTGCGCTCTTCAGGTTCCTGGGGTCAAAGGTTAAGGTTAACAGATGTGAAGCTAAAACAAACTATTTTTAACTTGGGCACAAACTTAACGTTGTTTTATTAGAGTTTCTATGTGGTAAACCAACATGATGTAGTGCTTAAGTAATGGAAATTATACATAGTTTCTATTTACTTTTTAAATAAAAAATTAAAATAAATTAATTAAAATAAATAAAAATAAACTGATAAAAATAATTAGATTTTGGGGATTTTCAACCAGTTTTCTTCATTTAAAGACTGAAACTTCCAGCCATTCTTCTGCATGACTGGCCGGTGGGATGGAGATGATCTGCAACCAGCAATTTTCAGATTTTGGCTCAGATTCTCACCTTAATTTAGATTGAGACTTTGACTAGGCCATTCAATATGCTTTGGTGTCCAAAATGTGGTCCAGGAGCCATTTGTGACCCCTGGATTAATTTTGTGTGACCTTTTCCTCTCCTTTGTTTTAGACTGCCGTTCAAGAGCAGCAGAAATTTTGCTCTCTTGACATTTTTACATTTTTTTTAAGGATTTATATATTTTTAAACTGAAAATGTCGAGTATAAGACAGGTTTTTCTTAACCTTTTTTTCCTTTTATTTCTGTTTAATAAATTGTGCCATAAACATCCAGCTAATATTTACTCCTAACGAAATACAGCAAAGCAAAATTCTTATTTTTGCTGCAGAGATTTAACAAATAGAGAAAATAATAAATTTAAAAAGTTAAGTAGTTGTAAACATGAAGGCAAACGTAAAATATCACATTTAATTTACTGCTGTGCGGCTAAAAGAGGAGGAGTTCATTAATATTTTTGCATGTTTAATTGGGGGAAAACAATAAAACTTTGACCTGGACACGTTCTTCTTGAGTATTTTGGCTGTTTTGGCATTAAATGAAGCTGAAATTGAATTTTCAGTTCTGTGTTGTAGCTGTGAAACTTGCCTTTCGGTGCAGCAGCTGCGACTGCGCGCCGCCTCCTCCTTCTATCTCGAAGCGAACGAAGTTGAAGAGAGCGACGGCGTACTGCTTCTCGTACAGATCGCCAAACTGCGTCATCACATCTCTGGTCCGAGCTGCAGGAGCAAAAACACAAAGGATCAGAAAACTCGTTTATTTTCTTAAGCAGTGCACAATTTGTACAAATTTACACCTTTCAAAGTCAAAAGTGAAGTTAATCTCTCCAAAGAAATGCTGGTAGCCAGTCTATTGTAAATACAAAACCATAAATTGGAAAATCTAACCAATAAGTTGTCAGTTAGAGCATCATTTTAATCATTTCTATCTGAATTTGTCAATTATTGCCCAAAAGCATCAAACTGCAGACATTCTGTGTTTAGAGGCTTCTTAAAATATGTTCTATTCAGACTTAAATTTAATATTTAGTTTGTGAGGAAATCACTAATTTCTCAAACTACTCTGCAGTTTGTCCCAGGACAAATTATAATGTTGTTTTGAGACTATTTTTAAGTAACACAGTGGTAATAATGGAATAATAACACAAGAACACATAAAAGATCAATAAGATTTAAATTCTGATGTACACTGGAAATGGAAAACTTTTTAATCATCCAAAATAAATAAACAAAACAGAAACGACAAATAAAATGCATTATAACGTCTCTGTAAACAAAACCAGTGTGGCTAGTTGAGACCAGAACACCAAACTGAAGACTTTTGTCATTGTCAGATTTTGGTAGAAAGAAAATTATAAATCAACAAATGGGAATTATTTAGCTCTTTTAACGGTTTTATTGCGACCAGCCTACTGTGAATATCTTTAAGCTAAATAATCTGAGCTGAAATGCTAAATTCATCCTTTCGAAGTTAATTTTGTCCAGTTATTCAGAACAGTATTTTGGGTAACGGGAAGCAGCTAATTTAGATTTTTCCTTTTTTAGCAGCCGTAACTAAATGAACCTTTGACGTGTCACTTCCTCATCCACAAAAAAGAGCCCAGATTGTGTCAGTTTGGAGGCTGTTGTGTAGCATCCCAATAAAACCGTCCCAAGAACCTCCTGCAGGGGACAAATCAAGTTTTTTACTGCTGTAAACAAGTGAGACGTGGACTCTGGTCTGTTTATGGAAGCGTGGGGACAGGAAGGAGGGAGCAGAGCAGGAAGGAAAACGCTGACAGGACAGGATAGACACAGGGAATGTGTAGGAGACGGGGGACAGGGACGCACAGGCTGATTAAAAAACAGCAGGCCACTGATGGACGAGATGGGAGGACGAGTCAGAACCCAGTCAAGAACAGCAAACGCTGCAAGAGACGACAAGTTTCTGATAACCAGCATCAGTTTGGAGGAATCGCTTTAATTCAGTCGCATTCAATCATTCTTGAGCATAAAGCATCTTCTTTAAGGTCACAACACTGTATCTGAATTGGATTAGGTCCAGACTTTGATTAGAACCTTCATTTTGTCGACATGATTTGGAACGGACATTCTCCGTTAGGATTTTCTGGTAGAGACCAAAATTCATGGTTGCATCAATGCAAATCAATCCCACATTACCACACAACCACCACTTTGTTTGACTGTTGGTTTCCACAACCCAATGCTTGTTTTCATCCCAAAACATTTCAGGAAACTTTACTTAGATTCACACCAGCCCTGCTTAGTCCCCTTTAATCCAACTCCAGTTTGTAAAGTCTGATTCATTTAGAGAGGTAAGAATGTGTAATCAAACTCTACAATAGGTCTTTGTGAACTCTGATGCGGTTCAAATGCATGTGTGAACACCAAGCGGACCACAGACCGCTCCAAAAGCAGGAAGTGGATTACAGCGCAGGACATTCTGGGTAAATACAATCAAAACAAATGTGTGAGTGCTAAGCAGGAGAAATGGCTCGTGGTTTTATACAAAAGACAAATCCTACAACTGCTAAAATCTGACGGCACTCAGTTTTAAAGTTTGTGAAGAAGGAAGTTGAGTTGTTGAGTCATGACCACTGACTGTAACTGAGGAACTCTGCGGTTCTTTACATGATATTTTTGGACTCTTCAGAAACCTTCTGGATAATCTCTTGGTGAAACTTTTGTTCCTTCTCCATTGTCAAGTCTCACTCTTGCTGGTCAATCTCTGGTTCTGTTCTAGCCAAGCTGGGTGTGTCTCCATTGGCATCGTGTTTCTCCCTGATTGGGCAGGAGTGTGGGTGACCCATGAGCCAAGCAGAAACTGATGACGTCACTTTGCTTGGGCGATCAGTTTCTCCAAAATCAGCCATACGATGATCCAAAACACACCAACAAGTCCAACTGTCAAGAAGTTTTTTTAAAAAGGGCCTAGTCCAAACCAGATGTTGGTGGTTCAGGTTCTCGCCTGAATCTTTATGGTAGTCCATCTTCTTCTCCATTTTGTGCTCTTAAGTCTAAATGCTCTGCTTGCCTCATTGAAACCAAAATAAAAAATGATGACTCAACGGTTTGGCACATCAAGCCCCTCCCATCTGCATTCTGATCTCCAAACGTAGCTGCACTCTGTTGGATGTTTGCTTTCATGCTCGTCATACCAACTAAATTTTGCACCAGGTAAGAGTTGGTCACTGCGGTTGGCTCTACAATTATGCACCAAGTTGGTACTTTCCACCAGACGTCCTGCAGGGCCAAAGTCAACAGACTGGAATGCTTTAAATAGTCTGCTGGAGACAAAGATTAGAAAGCAAAAAATAAACCAAAACACTCAGTCTTCTGTGTTGGACCTGTGTGGAAGCAGCTGCCTGGTAAAGAGGTTTCCCTCCATGAACCTTAAATTCCTCTACAGGAAAAAGAAGTTTACTGTCTTGAAATGTGAAGGACTGCTGAGTAAGACTGATTCAAACTGTGTTTTTACCAGGAAATGTGATTTATTCTCTGAGGTCAGACTGTGGTGAGGAAACAGGTGGCCTATCTTATGTAATCCTGTTGTGTTTTTCATCGCAGCAGAGAAGTGGGGGGTCTTATTCAGACAGACTGAAGAAAAGAAAAACAGCTTTTAGACTGCGGGATTCTGGAAAAATTCCCATTTATCTCATTTTATTCTGCAGATTCAGACCATCTCTTTCCCAGTTCAGCCTTTCCTGGTGATCCCAGTAACACCAACAGGTTGTTGACACAATGTCGTCAGCCACTGTTAAAGATTTGCATAACTCAGATATCCGTTTATCTCTTCTGCTGCGATCCGTGCAGCATTTGCATGCAACAGAGGGAGAATGCTGTGCAAAAGTCTTGAATCGTCCCTTGTCCTGTATCTTACCTAGGCCTGTTGCATAACAAATATTGCTGGACAATAAATTGTCCCAATAATTATTGTGATAAATGATAATAGTTGTTTTGAGACCAAATACAGGTAATATATTGATAATGACTCTCAAAGACCAATAAACCTTCACACCTGACACTGGAACTGGAAGATATTTTAAATATCCAACATAAAGTGGAAACAAACACCACTTACAACTGAAACCACAAATAAAATGGGTCATGAAATCTCTATAAACAAAATTTCCCTTCCAAAAATATAAATGGAATAAAAATTATTGAGCTCATTTTAATTCATCATGCTGTCATTTATTGTGACAGACTGAATCCTACCCCTCGTAGTTTTTACATTTTGCCACATTGCAATATTTCAGAACCAACTTTTGTTGCACCTAAAGCTGCAAATCTTTTAAGAAGAGTCTGCCGCCTTTGGATTTGGGTCTGGACTTTGACTAGGTAACACTAACACATGAATATGCTTTGAGTTAAACTCTTTGATTGCCAACTTTTGGATGCATCTTTGCTCCAACAAACCTGGATTAAATGAGCGACCAACATCCAGGTGTTTGCTAAATTTGCTAACCTGCTAAAGAGGTAATTCAATGTTTAGATTCAGATGCGTTGGAGCAAGAATCCATCGAAAACATTCAGGATGGTGGAGGTTTGGAGATGTAAACCGGTGAACTGGCTGAACTTGCATCCAGATAAAAATCTGATCTTTTTCCGATCAGTGACAGCTGTCAGCAATCTTCTGTATGAAAGGAAATTTTATTTCCTATAACATGTCAAAATCTGTCTTCAGTTCAGATTGCGAACAAATGAGCAGGAAACAGTAAGGCTAAAAGGCTCCAACTTCAGTCCTGGAAAATGCTGGATTTGGAAACATTAGCAGACTTGAGGTAAGGATTTATGTTAAATCGATAAATCTAAGAAATGCATTGAACATAAATTTAAATCTTCAGAAAATTTGATTAATCGACCCAACTTCCATCTCTTCCTTCATGTTTCTTTTGGACACCAAATCATCAGCATCAGTTACTATAAATGCATAGAAAATAATCCAACCAGCCCCATAAAAGAAACACAGTCTGGTTGTAAGTAATGACCTAAGACTTTTGCACAGCTCCATGCTAACAAACCTGAACAGCCGTTACAAAGTCAGACCAGGACGTGTAATAACAGCCACGAAGCGAGGCGCTCTCCTGTGGCGAGCTGTTAAAGGTTTGCTGCTTGGTTGCGGTTTCACGCTGAGGAAGATGAGCAGGTAGAGACGGCGCTGAGGAAGGGCGCGGCGCGGCCAGACTAACTGGGACGTGTCGCTACCTGCTGCACCTCGTTAGCCTCACCTGTGACTGCTGCCTTCACCTGCTCAGCTCTAACACAACGCCACCTCTTTACTGGGTTCCCACAGGAAAATTCAGACATTTTCCAAGAACTTTCAAGGTCATTTTCAAATTTTTCCAGCACCTTTTTGGAGATAAAAACAAAACAAACTAAAAAGAAGTTTAAATTCACCATCATTTATTACTGTTATTAATAATATCTTGTTATATTAATCTACATTCCATAGCAAGGACAAAATTAATTAAAATAAAAACCCTTCCCACACCCTGATGCTGCCACCGCCTTGTCCTAAAATATTTTTATAGTTTTTAATTTTATTTTAATAAACGTCCTTTTTAACCTTACATTCTTCATTTTTAACCGTTTTGAAGGTGAATCTAGTCTCAGTTTTATCAGTTTTTCCATTTTGACAGGTGATATAATTTTTGAAATTATTCTAACCCTGAAACTGAAAATTCCCACTTTTTTTGGCCCATAAACGCATCAACAAACGCCACATTTTATTATTTGATTCAGCATCATTTTCTCTTCTTTTAATTCATATATCCATTAAAGAATATGAAACTAATTAGTTGTTTATAATTCTTACATTTAAATGCTGAATTAAAATAATTAAATTTAAATATTTTTCTTGTTTTTCTGAATCCGTTTTGGTGGTAGATGCACGGTTGGTTCCTCCACCTCATTTCCAAGTTGTTTTGGGTTTTTTTCTTATTTTTGATGTTTTCATGTGACTTGATTCCTTTTTAATTGAATTTTAAAGTTAGAAGCTGAAACCAGCTCTTCTATTACAATTAAACATTTGACTGATTGTAACCAGAGCCCAAGCCATGACGGGTCCTCCACCGTGCTTAAAGCCTTGATGCACCAACCACTCAACCAGTGATCAATACCAACAAATCTCATGATCGAATATAAGATTTTCTATTTTCCAAAACTGAAAATTTACACTTCTTTTGTCCTGGAAACACATAAACAGACGATACTTTCCTTTATGCACTTTAGAGTTCAATACAAAAATCAGATTAAAGTTGGAAAAATCACTGTTAGTGTAATTTTTGTTACATTTAATTGTGGATTTGAAATAATGTACTGAATCAGAAGTAGGATTAACAAAACTCTTGTTAATAAATTTGTATATTTTCTACCCAAATATGTCAACAAATCGGACATATTTGGCCTGAATCGGATGTTTCTGCTTTCTGGAGGTTTCTACCATTTCTTGACTATTTTCCTGCTTTTTGGTCACAGATTAGTTCATGGATTCAGCAGCTTTTACTGTTTTTATTCTCCTCTAATCTGGAATGAACTTCCAGAAAATTGCAAAACTGCTGAAACACCGAGTTCCTGTAAATTAAAGCTAAAACCCGCCTGCTTAGTTCTGTCTAAGTCATAATAACTAGAACATTCATCAACATATCTGATCATATTTGCTTGATTTTGATTATTTTGTAATGTTTAACACTTGTTTCATAATTGGTTACTCTAATATGCTTCTATTAAAAAAGTCAGAGATAAATTATTGAGATGTTTTATTATTTTCAACACTCTTCTGGAAAACATCTGAAAAGTGTGGTGTGCATTTTTATCCAGGCACCTTTCATTCCAGCTACAGCTTCATGTTTGGACTACAGATGGAAATTAGCATTTTAACTTACAGCAATCCCTGACCTATTTAAATAAATTAAACTTAAATATGGATACGCAATATATCGGCACTAACATCGGTATCAGTCATTATTAGTCATTGTTTTACATATTGGTATTGGTCCGATAAATAAAACTGGGTCGATATGAACAACCGATTGTTATTTTTATCTTGTTGCCGTTTGTTTCTGGTCTTTTTTTAAGTAGTGTATATAACATCGGTAAATATCGGTTATCAGCCACAACGGCAATACTAATATCGGTATCGGTTAATCCCTAAATTCAAAATTAACAGAATTTTGCCCGTCCAGAGATGATTTTCTGTCTAATTTTTTACTAAATTGCTGCTGCCTCATTGGACAGGGAGCTGCAAAGGGAATTTGAGAAACAGTTTTTGAGTTTTGCCTTGACTGGACTTTGACTGGACCATTTGAAAACATGATCTAAGGTGGTTTTCGTTCTGGATGGTGAACCACTATGAGGTTTCCTTCCATTTAACATTAATGCTTTTTTTGCCACATAAAATCCCAATAAAAACATCTAGACTTGTGACATGTGTGAAGCATGTAACCCAGCTGCGTACAGACGCTGTAGTAGCGCTGAATCTCAGCCACAGAAGCATTTGAACAAAGAGGCCCTTCCCTTTTTTCCTTTTCTCTAAACTTCACCAGAAAGCATTTCATTCGCCGCTTCACAAAAAGCAACATCAAACAAAAAGAGAGTCTGCAGTTCAACAGTCTTCAGATTCCTGCTCTCCAGTAGCAGCAGAGAAACAACCAACAATTAGAAATGCAGTAAAGGAGCAGAACCCTGATGTAAAATCCCTCTGATTGGGTTTGTTTCCATGCTCTGCTGGAACATTTCTCAGTGGGAGGCAGATCAGACCCAAACTTAGACAAACATACCCCCCGCCTCTGCTGGAAACCTGCTTATTATCTCCATTTTAAGACTCATTTGAACTCTAAAAATGGAGAAAAGTGCTCCGATTTGGTGCGTTAGAGCTTAAAAAGCCAGAGTAAAATGGATAAATCGGTGTAACCTGTAATCATCTCCCGCCTGCTCTCGTCCAGGTGAGAGGAAACCACGTCCCCCATGGCGACAGCGTTTCCCAGCGGTGCTAACTCCCAGGCTGAACCTCCAAGACTCCGGCGCTCTGCAGGGAATCTGCTTCAGGCTCCCAGTCCGGCCGGTGCTGCTGTGGCTCCCCTCCTGTTTGGCTCCAGAAAACCCCAGAGAGGGAGGAAGACGAGGAGGAGGAAGAGGAGGAGGAGGTGAACACTGCTCCCTTTCACAGCGAGGCAGCAGGACACACCCTCTGGGAGTCATCACTGGTCCAACGTGTTCAGTCGGCCGTGCCAAAGGTGTGGCCTGGAGTTTGTGTTTACTTGTTTGGCGTTATTGGAAACGTAGAAACATTTTGTATTTTCTCTGGTTTTACAGCTTCACTGATTAGCAGCCATGATTGGATCCATCAGCTCTGATTTTAGGCTGAAACATTTAGTTAATGTGGTGCTGAAGTTTCCCTTTGTGCTCAAACTGAAAGCATACCTGCTGATGGGGTCATGAAAACGGGTTTATGCTGCCCCCTTGTGGCGGCGCTCAGAACTACAGGTTAAAATTTACAAAGATTGTTTCTAATGTTGGCTAATAGTAACAAAAAACTACGCAAATAAGAGTAGTACTACTTCAGCATATTTTTACTCAAGTAAAAAGGCATTTGGAGAACATCTACTGAAGTACTCAGTCACTGATCAAATTATCAATCATTTTAAAAATTACATCATCAGATGGACCAAAATGGAAAATTAAATGGAAATTTTGGTATTTTAAGAACAAAAATGACAATATTTCATCTAAGGAACAAACAATAACTAAGGTAAAATAAAATGTTTCCAAATCCGTTTCTTTCAATAAAAAACTCCAGCTGTGTGTCTGTCTGGTGAGTCTTTGATTAAAATGTTTGTTTTTCATCCAGTGGGCAGAAAATCCAGAAATTTTACTTGAATAAGAGTAGAATTACTTCATAATAAAATTATTCAAGTAAAAATATAGTGTAGTAAAAATACTCCTGAAGGTAGATTTTTTTCCCAAAAGAAGTTAAATAAATGTAACTGAGTAAATGTTACTAGTTACCACCCAACTCTGAATATTAGTTATATTTACTACATACGTTTCAAACTAAATAATTACTAAAACTGGGTGGATAAATAAAAGTGTGGAAAAGTCTCATGATCTCTTTTAAACCAATTTATTTGCCCTGATTTTATTTATGTAAATTATTTCTATTTTGATTGATGAAATGCCAAAATCTCCCCATAACTTAATATTTTTCTGTCTGATTATGTAATTTTTAAATGTTAAATGATTAATGGTTTGATCAGTTGCTCAGAAAAAAAGTTTATTTTTTGTTAAATACCAAAAATGCCAACTCGACACAGTTTTTCCTCCATGTTGTGGCGCCCTCTGCAGTGCAGCGCCCCTACATGTCAAACGGACCCACATTTTGCGCCACTGCTCTTTCATTAGTGGAAAACGTTTTGTCTTTTACATAATTATCCATACTTATGTTCGTTTTTGTTTTATTTTAATGCCTAAGAATATAAATAAAATATCAGTTTTTCAAATTAAAGACATTTCTTACAGCAGATACTCATCAAAGGTGCAAAGTGCGGCTTTAAACGGGTTTTTTGTGGCTGCATCGGGATAAAAGTCTCATTTTGGGCTGTAAAAATGTGTTGGTGTTAATTAGCGTAGCTGGATTTCATGATCACGCATGTCACGCAGTCCTGGCTGGCGGGTGGAGGAGGGGGGCTGTTGCGGGAAGGATACGCAGTGACGTTTCCAGCTGGAGACTCCTCGCTGCGGTGAGAGTCGACCAGAGAGGAGGGAGGCGGCTCAGCGCTCCGTGGCAGGCAGTCGGCAGCATCATGGCACCTATCGGATTAAAGGCGGTGGTCGGAGAAAGTAAGAGTTCCTCCTGTTCATGGCGCTTTAGCGGGTGGTGAAAATCTGCCGCTGCGCTTCATGCCAGCAGCGGATGTTTGATTTCAGCGCAGGCCGCGGGTCTTCATGAGGATGAGGATGATGATGGTGGTGCTAAATCACTTGTGTAGCTCAGGTCTCCTGCGCTGCTGATGCGCAGAAAACCGTGAACCTTATTAGCTCTAATTACTCACTGGTTTCATTTTGAAGCGAGGAAAACGTCCAAACGCGGTTTAACAGCCAATCAGCGTTTTTCTATCACCAATAATCTGCAGTGACGTCTGACTGAAGCTGTTAAATTAATGAAATATGGCGATCCGCGGGTTTCCCTGATTACAGCAGAGCCTCACCCCTCTGATGGAGCAGGAGTCGTTGCGTAAAAACAGCCCAGCTCGCTGTGAGGAAACGTGTTTGCTTTGTTCATCCTCAGTGACGCATCGCGGCGTAGAGGGGAAGCTGCGCGTTATTTAAGAGGCGATGCTTTGGTTAAACTCCGTCTGCGGGCCGCTTAAAGCTGGATGTTTGGTGATGGAGGCGCCGCTCGGTGCAGGCCTGGATGACAGAGGTCATTAAAAACAAACCCGGACAGAATAGGCTGAGGATGCGGTGCAGGATTTGCTCCATTTGTCCAAATAACCAGAAGCGCAACCAAGGAGCAGCTAAAAGCAGAAATGGACATAGTTGGAAATGTTTATTTATTTATCTTCTTATTTAAATTCAGTTTTTATGTCCCTCACTCTCTCCTGGAAGGGTTTTCAAAGCGCAGACAGCTGTTAAATATAAAAAATGCAGACTTGAAATAATTGTTTGGCGCCCCCTGTAGAGTGGCGCCCCTACAGTCCATTCCTACTCTTTGCGTCATGATACTGAGATACTTCAGAAACCTACACCTCTCTATTTTAATAGTTCAAACAGCAAATATGCCTTAATATTCATTAATACTCACAGTATAAACCAGAACTAAGATATCAATACCAAATCAATATCTGATCAGTACTAGCATGATTTAGGGGTTAAGGTTATTTATGGTTTAGTTTGAGATTCCATGATGATTTTTTTTTCTTTTTCTATTGTAGTTTATAATTTCTGCCTCAAAAATATTTTTGTTTTGCTTTTCTTTCAAATTCTAAGTTTTTTGCTCTTTAGCAGAAACAAACATTTGTTTTATTGTTTTACTCCTAAAACTTTGTTCATGTTATAAAGTTTTAGCAATACAATTAACAGGAAAAAAACACAAAACACCAAAATATTCAGCATTTCTAACGTATTTCTCACCAAGCTGCATTTTCTGTTGAATATTTAAGATATATTTGATAAAAATTCATTTTCTGTGAATTTTTAGTAACGTTCTGCAGAAAAAACTGCAAATACTGAACCAATATTTCTGTTAGCTGCTGCTTTGCTACTTTTTTGGTATTTTTTCCCCCATAAATCCTGATACAGCAAATACTGAAGACTTGTCTTCTTCTCTCTGGAGGAAAATCCAAATCAAAGATGGTGACAGTCAAAACGAGACAAAACGAGTCAAAATTAGATTCAAAATGTCAAATATTGGCAGAAAAGGCCTGATTGGTGCATCTTTAGCTTTTCCAAATAAAACAAGTATTTTTGTATATTTATGGCTCATCAGATGTTTAATAGGATTCCTATCTTAATCTTACTGGATTCACAGTTTATATTGTTTTGGTTGGAGAAATTACAGCAGATGCCTGATGTATCGCTTTTGATACAGAGAAAAAAATAAATCAGTTATTTTTCAAAGAGTTTAGTTTGCTTAGATAAACACATACATAGAAATAATGTTGCAATATTTAATTTTCTGTCAGATTTAAACACCTCAGTAGTTTTTTTTATTTTTGTTTTGGGTATCTAGGATAAAAAAATCTAAATTAAAATTGTAATCAGGTGATGAAACTTCATCAGAAGGTTTGTGTCCAGGATGTGTGTGGTCTGCAGAGAAGACTTATCGTCAATGTCAGTAAGTCTTTATAATTTAGAGCAGAGATGTCCAAACTTTTGGTCATCAAGTCAAAATTACTCACAGCCTAAAAGCTGGTCTTTTTTTCCTGCCCAACAATAAACTGAGTATAAAATATTTCAATAAAACAAATTAATCCATTTTGTTTAAGATCAAAACTTGAAATTTATTTGTTTATTTAGCATATTTGCTTCGTTAAAAGAAAAGCCTCCAGTTTGCAGATTATTTGGGAATCATTTTGAGAAAAATTGAGTTTATTCTCAGCAAAAAACAGGATTTGGTTTTTCTCAGGAAACCTTTGCTGCATTTGGTAGAGCTTCATAAATGAAACAGACGCAGATTAAATTTAGCTTTGGAGTAAAAGTTACTGAATAAATGTCATCAGATTTACTATAAAATTAAAGGTTGGTAATTAAATATTAATATTTTGGGTTGTATCTTTTATTTTTATTATCTTAACTAAAAATAAAATCACCATCTCAGTTAACCAACTTTGTGGGGCCGTAGAAGGTCAGTCCAAAGTGCGGCCCTCGAGCCGCACTTTGGACGCCCCTGATTAAATCTCACCATGTTGTTAAACATGCAGCTTAACAGCAGATCTTAAAATAATTTCCTTTCGTTTGCGGCCATCTTTAATGGTTTCAGCTGCTCAGTAAGCGAGCGGCGGCTCTGAGCCGTGTAAACATCGCGGCGGCGGGACGCAGCAGGCCGCACCTGCACCCTGCGATGGGATTGGTGGAGGTGGAGAGGGTTCCTGCTGCAGCAGGGAGGAAGAGGAGGAGAGAGGGGGAAGGGCGGCAGGCGGAGGCTCCCCTCCCCCCATCAGATGGAGGAGAGTCGGGACCTGATGAGGATGGAGAGATTAGATTCTCCTGACTGCAGCTGATAATTCATTCTTTGAATTTTGAATTTATTTTTTGTTACTGTACGTGTTCAATGAAATTAAACGCAAAAATGTAGGAAATATAAACAACGTAAGCATAAATATGGTAATATTTACATGATTTACAATATTAAATCAACATTTAATCAATTATTCTGATGATTAATCATTAAAAAATTGGCATGTTCTTCAGATTTTTTTTATTTAACCAGCAAAGCTTTAATTTATACATTATGAAAAAATATATATATTTTTAAATATAAGTAATCAATAAAAAAAGCCCACATTGGCTGAAATGCAATAATAGATTATTCATGAAGGTTTTTAATCTTAGAATAATTTACTTTCTCAAAGTAAAATGTAAATAGTTTTTGAAAGGTCCGAACATTTGGTCACTCATTAACCTTCTACAGTTAAGAAAACTACCTTACCTGGCTAAAGTAAAAAATATGGAAATATTTCTGACAGGATAACCAAAATGTGACAAATACAACAAAACAACATAACTACCTAGCTAGAAATAACAGCTAGTTAGCTCGCTAAACCTTATGACTTTTTTTCTATATGAACATTTAATTCATCTCTGCTGTATTTTTTACAAGATCCAAGCAGTGGCTGTGCCGGCTAACGTTTGTTTTCATAACTGTAAGACAGATAACCACAGATTAAAATATGCTGCTATATTTACGACCACAGACAGACTCAGTGAAACGCTGCTGTGCTAGAAAACCACATTCAGTCAGGACAGATTACAGTCAGCCTGACAGCAGAGCTTGGAGAGACAATCATCCTCACATTTCGTCCTTTAACCCAGACTGATGAACTCTGTTGGTTCCTCACAAGGAAAGAGTGAGATTATATAATCTGTATCTGAAGAGATGGATGTTGGAAAGTGAAGCACATCTAAAATAATGTTGCACAGAGGCCACACACTGACCTTGGAGGCGTCACTGAACCAAAGCAACACACACACATACACACACACACACACACTCGTCTGGCTCCAGTGTGTGACGCAGTGCCCCTCTCTAAAACACAAACAACGAATACGCTGCTCTGAAACATGCAGTCACAAATAAATCCAAGTCAGTTTACATGAAGAGCTCTGATTTATGTTGAGTTCCAGCACATTTGGTTAGCTGGTTTTACCGCTGTACAATGGCTGCTGGAAAAGACAAGAGTTCTGTTGTTGATTTACCATCCAGAAACCTCTTGCTGCATTCTTGTTGGTTGTGCAGGAGGCTCCACTTCTGCTTTTCAAAGATGTACGGTGGTATAATTGCCCAGCCATTTTCTCGTTGAATTGGTGGCCAGCAGCAGCTTGTTTGGATTTAAAGTGACAGGGCGCCCTAAAACAGCTACAATCTCTTTATCTAAGACTGACTTTGTCCCCCCAAAAATGTAATGAACATGTTTTGTTTAGGCCATAAACCCATCATAACTTGAAGCAAAATAATTCACTTTGAGGATTTTACTCTCTGACCTACAAGTGGAATTTTAACAAAGCCGGAAAAACTTCAAACTTATATTTTTTGGTTTTCTGTAAAGTTTTAGTCATGTAACATCACTGTTATGTTCCACTGATCAGTTTATTATAACCAGAAAAGGCCGACTAGCTAACGTGAAGCTAGCAGCAGATCCTAGCAGCAGATCCTAGCAGCAGATCCTAGCAGCAGATCCTAGCAGCAGATGCTAGCAGCAGATCCTAGCAGCAGATCTCGGCGCTCCATAAACGTTAAAGTTGAAGCGTTTTAACGAGCTTCATGCTCCACATTCTGCATCCTGTTGAACAGGCTGGAGGAGCTGCAGAGATGTGTGTTTGTTAATGTTTGGTTTGAACAGCTGTTTGCTGTGTTTGTTCAGCTCCTTCCCTCTCATTGTGTCTCTATCAGAGACGACAGAGGAAAAGTCCACACGCCTCTTTCCTCCTGACACAAACCGTTTTCCACTCATTTATCTGTTAGCGCAGGCTGAAAGTTTTGTTCATAAATAATTCAACATGATTTTTATTAGTGCTTGAATATAACTCTACTTAAAATCTACTGATTTAATTATTCGATTAATGAAACATTTTTAAAATACAAATATTCACTGCAGCATCTCCAGCAGTGAAATTAAACTTTAAAATTATGTAAATTTGAGTTTATTTATAAGTGAAGTAGCTTTGTTAGCAAAACTAGCAAAGACAGTTCATAAAGTTATTTATTTTTATTAGCAATTTTTAACTTTTCATACTCAGAAATGTCAGAGTTTCTTTTCTAGAACATTTCTGAGTTCTTTATTTAGCTTTTTTTGTTTTAATTTTCAAACTGAAGTTTTTTCTAGATGATTTCTGAGGTAAATCTGAATTTTTAAATCATTTTGCGTCACAACAGTGTGAAGAAAATGCTGAGTCAGCAGCTTTCGCTTTGATTTCGCAGGTTGTAACATTTCTGTATTAAAAATAATCATTATTGGTCTTTATTAATATATATATTTCTATACTAACACTTAGTTAAAGTATAATTCTTATTGGTCTTATACTTCCTCATTTAAATAAGTGATCTATATATATAAACTTTTGTCTCTTTCAAATGAATTAATGAAACAAATTAAATGTCCATTTGTTGTGTTTCTCGTATTTGTTGGATTTTTTTTTTTCAAATCTTTCTCTAATCCAATATTTAAAATAATCAGAATTTTCTTCTTCCTATTTTTATTTATATGTAGTTTAAGTTTCACATTCCCTGAAGTCGACCAATCAGAAGCTTCGTAAATCTGCCACTTCCTGTGTTTTTCTTCAGATTAGCGCTCTGTAATCCAGTTTATTTGATCTCCAGTTAATCTGTGATAATCCATCGGGGTTTGAGAGGCTGAGCCTGTCGGTCCAACATGATGTTAAACCGCCGGTCCCTGTGAATGTTTCCGGTCTGGACCTGCTGGCAGATGGACGGTCACTGATCGGGCCAATATCGCCGTAAACATGGATCCATGTGGCAGCAGGCGGGTTAATCTGAGGCGGCTGGGATTAAAGACTTCCAGCCCAAACAGGATGACTGTTAGTTTATGCATCAACTCTTCAGTCGGCCAAACTGGTGGCTAAATTTTGCACTAATTTCTCCCAGTTTTGATCAAACTCACCTTTTTATTGTTTGTGTTATTATAATGTAAAAGTTTTAGCTGTTGGAGAATCTGTTGCTCTTTGTTTACATAAAATGCTGGATTAAAATCTCCTTATCCTCTTGCTGCAGAGATTATGAACGATGTCATCAAGAAGGTGAAGAAGAAGGGAGAATGGAAGGTGAGGCCTTCTGCATTTCTTATCATTTTCACCAAAAACTGCTTTAAAATACGATTTTTCTTTCTCTAAAGCCTAAAATTACATTTAAAGCTGGAAAATATGTCAGTATTTCTAAAACTTACCCAGACATTTAGAAGTTACCTTTAATTTTTCCAGTTTTCTAAACATATGAAGCGTGTTATTAGTGATAATAATGTTTTTCTGCCCCAGGCTCTGATTGTGGACCAGCTCAGCATGAGGATGTTGTCCTCCTGCTGCAAAATGACGGACATCATGACGGAGGGCATCACCAGTAAGACACAAACCCAGTTCAGGGTTTAACCATCAACCAGCTGGTCTCCAGCTGCCTGCTGTGTTTCTGAGATAAAACAGAAAATGTTTAAAGTTGACAGGAAATTTGAAAACGTTTATCTTCCATGTGTGATTGGAAGGTAAACACCAATTATAAAGTTTTAAAAAAGCCAAACATATAAAAAACTGAAATGAATGAACAAACTCAGCCTGGCGGGCTGCAAATCAAGCCTGGCAGCCCGCCAGGCTTATAATACACCGGAGGGAAAACCTGAAGTTTATGTTGTTTTACTTAATAAGTTAAACTCATTTCCATTTTGGGCCAAATCGGGATCATGAGTGCTCTTAAAGGGCCAGTTCTGCCAGAACATATTGATAAAACCCACTAAACTGTTAAAATATGAATAAATTCTTAAAATTAAACTGTATTGACCTTCTCTTCACATTAATGAAATCGTTTTTGTGATTATTTGCAACAAAAACCAAAGTGTTTGTGGTATTCATTTAGGTATGTTTGATGGTAAATGTGACTTTTAATTCCTCAAATTGTCAAATTATAGTCCATATTTATATGATGGGCTATAATTTGACATTAATCAAAGCTGTTTAGTACCAGTAAGAAAGTCAGCATCACTTAAACCTGATGTTTTTCAACTCACAGTTATGAATTAGCCCATAAAAGTGCAGTCATTTGTTGATTTTGCTTGAATTTCCAGAATAATTTTCAAAAAATTGAGGGAATAATTGATGTAATCTGGAAGAAATTAGATAAAAACTGCTTTGATTTGATGGATAAAATAATATTTAAGCACACTGTTGTCTAGGACTCATTATGATTAGGAATGTTTAACTAAATATGTCTGCCTTTACCTTTAAAGTTGTGGAGGACATCAACAAGCGAAGAGAGCCTCTGCCCAGCCTGGAGGCCATTTACCTGATCACACCAACAGAGAAGGTAAAAATACAGAGTCATGGATCAGCTTTCATTTGGACTCACGTTTATTTCCCTCATTCTTCATTTAAACAAACATGAAGTTCGCTAAAAGATCCCAAAATGTAAGAAATTCAGAGCTGGGCACATTTCCGCTATCGCGCTAACAGTGAAGCTAATTCTTTGTTTAGCACTTTTTTTCTTCTTCTTCTTTTTTGTTGTATAAATTCTAGATCACTAATTTACTTCACTTATCTATAAACTTTTAGTTAATTAAAGTTTTGTTGTCAACTATAATTCAAGTAGATGTTTATGCTCATGCTTTTATTTTGAAGTTGAAGATGCTGTTCTGTTTTCTCTCCTCACAATTTCTTTTTTTTTTTTCCAAGAAACTTTATTGATAAATGGGAAATATAAAAATAAACAACCCAATGAGATCAACTGAAGAACATTTACATAAATTACCAGCAGAGTTTATTCTCACCAGTTTCAGCTAAAATTGATTTTATGTCTCTTCAAAGTTCAGACCTTAAATGTTTATTTTCAAACATTTAGCCAAAAGAAGCCTTTTCTTTTAAACAGATATAATCAATCCATAAATATGGTTACTGACAAGTACATTATGAAATCAGCATAATGTACTTGTGCTATGCTAACTGTGCTAACAAGCTAGCTAGTTTTTGTAGCAGAAAATATAAATTTGGCTATTAGCATAAATTTGAAAACTGACAGAGTTGTCATAAAATGCTGCTAATAGTCTAGAAGCATCATAAAATAGTAAAATATAAATGTACATGTATCTTTATTTAATATTCTTTAACTGTTTGTAGTGATGAATTTAGCTAGCATTGTTTTATTAGCCTAGCAAACAGAAACCTAAAGTAACTTTATAATGCAGGTTTCTGATCAATTTAACACAATAATATGACTTTTTTTGCATTTAACTTGCCTTGTTAACCTCAGCTTTGTTTAGCACTGTTAGCCTAAGGAGAATATGTCTGTTATTTTTCATTTTTCAGTCAGTGCACACGCTCATCGCTGATTTCAAAGACCCTCATTCAGCTAAATACAAGGCAGCCCATGTTTTCTTCACTGACTGTGAGTTACACAAACATACAACCCTGGTGCTTTTCATGGATGCATTTCTGCTTAAACTGGGTGTTATTAAGAAACATAATGTGCTAATGTTAGGACATCATGCTAATGTTAGCACATTATGCTAACATTAGCATAATGTTAGCAGTCAGCGTTTGAGAACTTGAATATATTCTGTTTAATGTTTTACCATCACAAAACTAAAATGATAAAGTAGTCCTTTAGTGTATAAATATGTAGTTATTCTACTATGGATGTTTTTTATTAACGTTTATAGAACAGTGGGCAGAAGAAATGAGTTTAAATGTTTTCTTTGTTTTTCCAGCCTGTCCTGATCCGCTCTTCAATGAACTGGTGAAAAGCCGAACCTCCAAAGTCACCAAGACTCTGACAGAGATCAACATCGCCTTCTTGCCCTACGAGTCTCAGGTAAACAAACAGTTACATTTAATTACGCCGTGGCTACTGATTGGTTTTCCATTTTGCTTGTCAGTTTTCTGCCTTTTTGCCTCAGATTTCACTCCAAAATACGTAGAAATTCATGTTGAACTCAATGTCTGTAAGTGTGTCCATCTCTTGCTCATCCGCCATAATGTTTGACAGTTTCTGTGTTTTTGTGTTTAATTTGCTCCACATATGGTGAAATTGTGTCTAAACATCTCTACCTTGGTGTTAAATTAATTCAGATGAAGCCTTACTAACCTAAATCTGCAGCAGGACCAAATCCTTCTCCACATTTCCCAATTAGCTTCATTTGTTCTTTCTTTGTCAACTTGACCAGTTTTCCATCCCAGCAACAGCAAAGTCTAACCCAAGGAGAAAAACTTTACTGTTGCTCAGAAAGTTCTCTTTTTAGATGGTTAATTAATTAAGTTTAATATTGTCAGTATATTTCAGAATGAAGTTTCAACATGAGAGAAAGTATCAGGTTGAAAATTTGGGGATCTTGAAGATAAAGTAAAATATCATCTGCATATAAAAGTATTTCGCTTTAACATTGATCCACCTTGTTACTAACTCACAAAAAATCAGAAAATTTATATTTATTCTTACAATGTTGAAGCATAAATATCAAGAAAAAAGTTATTTTAAGGTTAGTAGCTGAACAGATGTGCATGTTTTTAAATGTTGCAACTTTTTTTGCCCATTTTTGGTAAAGTGATCAGACTCAGTTGCATATTCCATGGATTACAAGTCTGATGTTATTATTTCTAATAACTGCACAGTATGTATCTGTTATAGTCAATCAATAGCTTTACGTCATAAAAACACAGTAATCAACTGAAATGTTACATTTTTCTGTCGTTACACATCAAAATGTTTAAGTTTCATTTATGATGATTCAAAAACAACCAGGAGGGATTTTAGTTTAGGTTTAGTTTTCTAGAAGTTTATTCTAGATTTATGGTTCATACAAGCTGAATGCTGCTTCTCCATGTCTGTTGCTATCGTTGTTGTTGTTTATAAATTTGCTTTTTAAATATTTAGAACGTTTTTGTGTGAACTTTTACACCTGATGCACCTGAATTATTAATCGGCTTTAGATCGATTAAAATGTGAAGTGGTGCAGTGAAGGACATGAATACGATCAGCGAGTTTGTTTTGTTTTTGATCTGGTTTTAGATTCAGAGAGAAAACAGAGAATCGGGTGTCGGATGCTGAGTCATGATTCGCTGTTTACTGCAGACTGATCCAGAAACATTTCTCACACTGATTCCTTTCCCTCCATGTTTTCACTCCCACAGTCGATTCTGTGATTTTCCTCTCTCAGCTCTTCTTTTATCTGTTTATTTCTCTCTATTTTTCCCTCCATCCTTCCCCATTAACCCATTTTTTGCGTTTTTGCTGCGTTCCTCCTCTCCTGTCAGCAGCGATTAATTCAGAGTCGGTGGTTTTTCTGCTGGAGGCAAAGCGATGCCTCGGTGTCCCGCCCACAAGCAGAATGAGTGAATCTGATTGGTTGGAGCCGGACATACGCGACGTTTGTAGCCAATCGCTGCTGAGCAAAGCAAAGGATCCAACTGCAGAGCATAAACGGTCATGTGATGATGGACAGATGGAGATGAAGGAGAGAAAAGATGAGGAGAGGAGGGAAAATAGAAAAATAGAAAAAAAAGAAAAAAAAAGAAAATACAAACAAGAAGAAAGTGAAAAAATAAAAAGAAAACAACAAAAGAGTGAAATGAAAGAAACAATAAGAGTAAAACGAAAGAGAAAAGAAAAAGTAAAGCTATAGAAACAGGAAGGAAGAAAGAGCAACAGGAAGGAAATGAAAAGAAAAAGACAAAGAGAGCGAGTGAAAAGTGAAATAATAGAAAGAGAGAGAAAGAAACAAACAGGTTCATTTTCTGGTTTAAGTAAAATAAATGCCACAAGTTACATGTTTGTATCTAGTAGAAGATAATCGGTTTAACTGGGTTAACTGG